ATCCGATCCTAGGGCGCTTGGATAGTATCTCCCCCCCTCCCCCCCATCTTTATGCCCCTAGTCGTGCATTCCTGTTGCTAGCCATCGCGGAGGAAAATCGCATGATGCCTGATAGTCGGAATTTTTCACATGGCGGGTGCCTGACTAGGAGTTCGTGGACCCATGCCCCGTTCTCACAAGTACGAAGGCACTTCCACGCTTGTCTTTTCGACAAGAGAAATATCACAGAATGATTGTGTCTTCGGGTACATAAAATTCTGCCAACTCGTTGTCATAGGTCTGCATAACGAATGAATACTAGAGAAGAAATTGAATTGAATGTCACGACTTGCCTCGTTGTCAGCCACCCGCCGGGTGCGAATGGCAGCGTAGTGCCGCGCAAGCTCCTGCAGGAGCCGATCTACAACCGGATTCTCGCCAGGGACGTACCGGGTCTTGGAACGCATCCGCATCATGATATTGAGTGCCTCGTCCATCCGCCTCGTCCGCATGAGACACCTAATAATGGCGGTGTATGTTACTAGATTTGGAAGCGGAAACTGCATGCCAGACGATGCGCCGATTTGACTTGAGGGGCTTTCCATGTGATCCAAGAGTGAAGTGAGCTTCTCCATGTCTCCAACGCGCGCGAATGCGGACGATAGCATGGTCAATGTATGCACGGTAGGTGCAATGCCCAAACGACACATGTCTGCGACAACTTGTGCTGCGCGGGAGGGCATATGCAACTTTCCAAACGCATTCACGAAAAAGCTAAAATGAGTAGAACTGTACAGTGTGATAGGTGCCTGAGCCTGTGGATCGCCGTCGAGGGGCGTTGCAAACCGCGCTGTCGTTGAATCTGGATTTTGAGCATCGGAAACCTGCGTTAAAAGTTCCTGGTACAGGTGCTCCACACTCTCGACCTCCGGGGTCAACTCTGACACGGCCCGCCATACAAGCGCGGAATGATAGTGTTTAGGCCACATCTTTTGCTGAAGTCCTTCCTGAAAATTGACTATAAAACCCTGCTCCGTGGACGACTTTCCTCTCAAGCGACGCATCGTCCTACCAATATACTTCTTGGTACGTTTTGGCAACCCTATGACGTGGAAGTAACGGGTGAATACGACAAGAAGATGATGGAATTCTTTCCTGTGGAAATGGTAAAGCATCTCTGCTAAAGCCCATTGCGACGCGGTGGGATATGATTTGCAGGCGCGTTTCTGAATGATCGGAAGGGCAATGGTGCGACCACTGGCCTTGTAGGTAGTAATGAAAGTGACGAGAGCACTGGGAAAGACATGATAGGTCCCATTCCAGCTATTCTTGACGATTCGCAGGGCCATTGCGAGAGAATTCGTCTCGGGAGTATGCATCGGGACAGGGAGATCGACGCGAGTCGCAGAGGCTGCCGCCCGGAGGCTGCTTTTTCCCAGTCTCAAAATGTGTTGAGCACCGTTATCTGATTCACGCAGCTTGTCGACTAACGCAATACGGGGAACGTCCAGGTTGGATGACAAACGGTTGCGTAGTATCTCATACGTGGATGTGTTGATGGTATAATTTTTGGAGCGACCGGCTTGCAGAATTTGGACGGCATCTGCTATTCGGCCGGATGTACAATGGCTTTCGATGGCAACACTGAACCAGTGACGAATCCTCTGCTCTAGCTGAGGTCTTGCGACGAGGGAAACGTTCGTCCATGCAGTCTGGAGGAGTGTCTCTAAAAAGGATTGGCTGAGAGAAGGTGGTGTGAAGCGGAAGATGAAGGCGAGGACACGTCTGGATATCCTGTTAGCATAACCGTTGGAAGCTGAGATGAGCGCATATTGCATCATAAGTGAAAGGTCTAGAACTGGGTCACTAAAGATGCGGGTCTCCAGAAGGTTCGAAAGACGCCAAGGCAAAATAGGAGCGGGTGGAATGAGAGAGTACCACCTGACAAAAGCATCTAAACGATCCCGAATATCCTCATGCTCAGAATCGAGGACGTTCAACGCAGCTGATACGTAGAGTTCTGATGGCCGGATGGGAGCATGCATCTCCTTCAGTTCCGCAAGCACACGATCTGCGTCCAAAAACATTCCTTGTTCGACAAGATGTTCCAAAACGAGGGAAGGGTGGATTGAAACAGGTTGGGAAGCGGTCTGAGGGAGGGGTACGGTTCTCGGGACGCCTGTGAAATGGTATTCCTCAGGGTTCTCGAAAATTGAAGAGTCGATGGAGGCCGTGGGATATGGGCGTTCCCTCATCTCTGCCATGGACGGCGTCTCTTCCGGGAGGTGAGCATTGGTGACATAGTTATTGAAGTGGCTCGCAATTGCGCTAGATCGTGGCCATGCAAAAGACTCCAAACCGATCCGGGCGCGGAATAGAAATGTCCATGGCGCATTTCTAAGGGCCCATGCGGCCATATACTGCCCTGAAATTTCTCAGAATTAGTCGGTAGGGATGTATCCTTGTCGCTGGCTGCATACCAATGATAGTCTCGGGATCGAACTTGAATGCGAGCGGACTGGTGTTGTCGTCCGACTCCTGCCGCTTGGACGTGTCTATGCCGTCACGTGCGATCGACGCAGTTGTCGCTCAGCGCCTCAAGTCGTTCTCAGCTGCGAGTTGCTCTGCTTCATAGTCTCTGCCATGATATGATACATCCCTGGATCTTCTGCTAACCAGACGGCGACACATCGACAGACTGGACGTACGGAAATTATACACAACTTCTCCAACCAGTACGCCGAATTTGTGTTTCGCTCGACTCCGGCTTTCAGCTTGCAACGGGATTACCGCGCTGATGCGCCTCTCCGGATTTGCATAAGTACACCAGTGCAGCCATTGTATGGCCATGGCGCAGAATACCTATTACTCTCAAGCCCACTACGATGCCAATGCAGGTTCTTATTCGTATTCCTCTTACCCCCAACAATCACAGCAGTATGACCATGTGAGTCCCCCTTCTTATTCCCGATATCCTGTGCAAGAGCAAGGCAATCAACCTGCACACATGAACACGAGCCCTATGTACTCCACTCAGTCGCACTCCCCTGTGCCACCATTACAACCTGTAGTATATGGCTACCCACCGTATGCACAACCGCCCTACATGCCTTCTCCATATGACTCGAGAGGCTCCACTCAGCAACACATCCCATCAATGTCTATATCCACTCGTCGACCGTTGCCTGATCCTCATAATGGATCACTAACGTCGAACGGCCATGTGTCCCCAAGACCGGCGTCTTCTCCTGCTCCTCGTTCGCCGTCACATCGACCGACTCAATCTGCTTCCTCAATCTTGATATCCCGGAACAGCCCTTCCATTCCCGCATCCCCTCCGAAGTCAACACCTGCGATTAGCCCTCCACGTCCGCTACCACAGCCGCGACCGCAGGGGCTGCCGCGGTCTTCCGCACAGTCGAACTTAGCTCGAAGCCCTAGCCCTACTCGGACCAATAGGGTTGAGACGCCACAGCCAACAGGTATGCCAACGGGACAAAAATTCGTTCCTCATTGGAAACGCGCCCTTCCTGCGCCCAGCCAGCCAATGGTAGCGGTATCTTCGTCCTCTCCGGGACAGCAACCTGTTGAGCGTCGCAGTACCGTTTCCGGATCAACGCCACCGCCAATATTGCAACGGACAACGAGCACAACACGACGGCCATTGCCTAAGTCTCCAGCACCGTCTGCGTCCGGTCATGAGCGCAGCTCTTCACACCCATTGCCTCCGATCCCAATTATGCCTACTGTTCCAAATACGTCTTCACATCAGCCTTCACATTCACGGGATGGATCATCTCGTGTGCTTCCAAATGTCCCGCCGCATTCACAGCGCCCATCTACTTCCGTGTCAGGCTCAAGCACGAATACATCTGACGACGAAGATTTGACAACACACGCCCTATTATCACGCCCGACAGCAGGGACTAGCCGTGTATCTTCCGAGGTATCGGATGACCGGCAAAGTCCTAAATATGGTATTCTCGAGCTGCCATCACGTACCCGTCTTGCTCAAGGTAGCGATCGGGCTTCAGATTTGGGTGAGCATGCGCAAAGTGCAACCTTGCGCATGGCTGCGTCCTATCTAGGAGATAACAGATCTCCGACGCAGTCTGTCCACGCATTCAACCATGATACGACACCGTCCCGGCCGTTGTCGCGGGGGCATGTTTATTCACAGTCTGTTCCGGAAGCAAGTGCAGCATTGAAGTACGGCCAGATGCCTGCTTCACCAAAAGGCAGTACAACAAGTGCGTCGTCGCGATGGCCAGCTCATCTTCCACCGCTACCGAAAGCACCTGATCCTAGAGACGGCGGTCGCGAAAGCCCTACTCGCGACAGTAGACGGCCCTTTTTCGGAGGAAGCACACCACAGTCTCCACGTCGTTCACCCACCGTGGACTTGAACCTAGACGATGCGCCACCGCCTTCCTTGCGACGCTCGCCTTCGCCCGCCCTCTCAAATCCGTATTCATTAGCATCTCAGTCTTCTCACAGTGCGAATAGTCCATCGGGTGGCAAGCCGTTCCCACCGACATCCATACGCACCTCTTCCCTGGACCGCGCACCCGCGCCGCGGAATACGGTTTCACCGTTCCAAACCGCAAATACATCGTCCCCTTTGTCCCCATGGTCATCATCGAGAGTCCATTCCCCTGTTTCGCCGGCCTCAGCGACGTCGGTGAGCTCCACATTCACCCTTTCCGCGTTTCCGCGTCCACCGTCGTCGAGTGTGCCGTCGTCCCGTCCGCTTCCATCCACAAGAGTAACTAGTCCGCCGGTAGTATCACCTGTGTCAGCCGCCTCGACAGGCTCGTCTGTGACCTCGCTGTCCTCATTCCCACAGCCTCCCCCGCGTTCTCCTGCTCATGATGCATTCGATGGCCAGAACAAAAACACGCTTGCAGGTGGTAACATTAGCGGGGCGAGCACTCGCCAAACGATACCAAAGATATCATTTCCTGCAAGTATAGACGAAGATGATAGCGAGGACAGTGATGGCGGTTTTGGTCCTGTCATATCGGTCGCTGGGGCGAATGACGATGATCCTGGTATTCCGAGCATTAGTATTGGTGTAGCGGATGATTCATCGCCTGTCTTGCCACAAATTTCGCTCTCGGGCGAAAGCATAAAGCCCATGAAGAAACAGAGCCCGCTGGAGCGTCTCATACGCAAGGGCCCAGGCCTGACGTGCGGCGGCTGCGGCGGCGCGATTGTGGGTCGCACCGTCAGCGCTATGGGAGCTCGGTGGCATCCAGGGTGTTTCCGATGCTGCGTGTGCGATGAGCTACTGGAACATCTTAGCAGCTACGAACACGAGGGCAGAGCGTACTGTCACTTTGATTACCACGAGGTACGCAGCGTCCAATTCAATGCATGCAATGCGAATATGATGTTACGTAACATCGCTCATGTTCAGCATCTTATTTCCAGTTATTTGCGCCGAAATGCTATCACTGTAAAACTTCTATCGTTGACGAACGCTTTATCACGCTCGATGATCCCGAGCTCGGAAAGCGCACGTACCACGAGCAGCATTTCTTCTGCGCGGAATGTGGTGATCCGTTCCTCGCTCCGGCTGCCCCCAGCCGTGCGACATCAGGTATATATTTATTTTTTATCTAAGTTTTAGCGGAATGTTGATCATGTCCAGGTGGTCAAATTTTTTCAGGTGACGGCGAGTTCAGCGGCGGAGGTGAGGATGATGTGGGTTTCACAGTGTATCGAGGTCATCCATACTGCGAGGCTTGCCACGTTCGCCTCAGACTTCCCAAGTGTAAACGTTGCAAGAAGCCTATACGCGACGGCAAGAGGGCCGTGGAGGCGCTCGGCGGCAAGTGGTGCTGGGAGTGTTTCGTATGCGCGGTGAGTGCCCTAGTCTTGTTTAGGGGGAACCCCATTCTAACATAATACTCGTCGTACCACAGAGTTGTGAACAGCCATTTGAGGATCCCTCATTTTTCCAGAGGGATGGCGAACCGTTCTGCGAACGCTGTTTCAGCATAATGATCAGGAATGAGCTGTGAAGATTGGATTTGTTCAGACTCGTTTTGTTTACGTTGAATTAAATATTTTGCTCGTTATCATGTATGTAGAATTGCCCTTGCAATTGCTGTCGCTGATCGGGAGGGACTTTCATTTGTACACTTTGTCGCTGCTGTGGGCCTCTCAGCTTAAAGTATTATTATGGCGGTAGTAATAGTCGACCTTTTGCTTTGATGCCTCTTGTAGTTACGACTTACGATATAATGATACCACGAACCTCATCAACATCGAATTTAACGACGAACTATTGTGACTACATGGGTGGATTTCAACTTTCAACCGTTCATCCGAAGTAATTCAAAGGATAGCCCAAATATTCACACTGCGGCTGCTCTGCGAACGCGCCCATGAAACTCTGCCATTGCAGTGTTCTCAGCGGTGTTGTGTTAATCGTTTCCGAGGTGACTGGCAACCAGGCACTCTCCGCGGCCAGCTGTTCGATGGTCCCGTAGTACCCACGCGCCGTCAAGAACGCCACGTCGGGATTTGGATTGTACGTGCGGGCGAACGACGTCCAGGTGTCGAGCATCCGCTGCATGAATGGCAGATCATACTGGTCTCGGTATGGCAACGTGCTTGGCAAGCTAGCGAAGACGTAGTACAGTTCGCCGGAGTGGCACCTGCAAAACGTGAGCGCGATTGTCAGTGACAGCCATAATGCAGTGAGACGGTGAAACACACTTACTTGAAGTATTCCAACTCGGGATCGCCGTATGGGTAGTCGGCAGTTATTGGGGCCTCGCAGACAGGGTAATTGGGTGAGAAACCAGGGGTCTGGTAGCTCCGGTTGAACTGGTAGAACCAGATACTCTCAAAGAGATCATGCTGTATGGCAGACCATGCAGTGGCTTGGTCCAGGCAACGGAACTCGACGTCTGTCGCGGCTCGCGCAGTCACGTTGAAAACATCAAGTGTCGCGTTCGGGCCAGTCGGGAGAATGAAGAGGGGGTTATTTGCTACAGTGATAGGGAGGTATTGTGCTTCCAGGGCTTCCGTCAAGTTCGTGGAAGTCTGGCAGACGGCGTCAAAAAAAGCCGTCCTCACAAAGAGAAAAAGACTTACTGGATAGCCGATGAAAGCAGCACCATCGTCTCGCATATATCCCATCATTGTGTGAACGCTAGCAACGGTTCCAGAACCATTGAGCGGCAGTTCTGTATGCGTTATAATGGTGCCATCCACAACGATGAATCTTCAAAATGAATTGAATCATAATCTGAGGTGACCCGAATCGTGGTTTGAGACGCACCTGGCAACGTTGACCAGATTTACAAGGTCATAGGCGTTATAAGCAGTAAGACATGCAAGTGCGTCAGTGATATTGCAACCGATCTCCTCCAAAATCGGGTATACCACCGTGGTGACCTCCTCTGGGATGGTGTAATACAAGGAGTATGTTGTCGCGTAGTCTGAGCCGGCAAGGTTACTCATCGGAACAGCCGCTGCATACTTCCCAATTGCCTGAGGGGATCCCAGCAACGCACGCACCGATGCCGCTCCCGCAGATTGACCAAAGATCGTGATGCGGTTGGGGTCGCCGCCAAAGGCCGTAATATACTCTTTCACCCAGTCCAGAGCAGCAATCTGGTCTGCCAGGCCGAAATTTCCATTCGTCTTCCCGTCTTCGAGGGCGAGAAAACCTAAGGTAGAGAGACGATAGTTGATGGTGACTAGGACGACGTCTCCTCGCGAGGCGACGTTACTGCCCTCGAAAGTTGGATCCGAGCCAGTACCGCTGGTAAAAGCACCACCATGAATCCAGAACAGGACAGGCTTAAGACTATCAGCCGACACAGTGGACGCATCCTCAGGGATGAACGGGGTCCAGATGTTAAGGAACAAACAATCCTCGCTACTGTCCGGTACACCTGCTTGGACACACTCTGAGCCGAAAGCTGTTGCGTTCAGCGTTTTGGATCCTGTCCACCCAGTAGGATACGTGAAACGGGGGGGTGCATCGGCGTACGGAATTCCCTCGAAGCGGAACGAAAGCTGATCACGATATCTGCCAAAAGTCCGTAAGAATCCTCAATATACTAATTGTAGGACGCACCCTGTGATAGTCAGGTCATCTGCGTATACGGTCAACAAATTTGTCGAATCGGCGTATGCGCCGTACGCCGAACTCTGGCTGCACAGGACCGGTAGTTCCGTATCACAGGAGACCAGGCTGACTTGCCCAAAGCTGTTGACAGCCGCACAGGAATCGCCCTCTGACGCGACTAGGTATAGCTGACCTTCGCCGTATGCACCCTCGTAGGCTTGATACTGGAGCAAAGGCACCAAGTCCGTCGTGAAGAAGGTCTCATTGATTGGCAAAAGGGTCTCGCTCAGGCTAGCACATGCAGTCTCTGCTTCAGATTGCGTTCGCGGAGTAAGCAATAAGACACTCTTGTGCTGTGTGGCGGTATACACTTGAATGGGAAGTCAATCGACTCGGAGTGAGCCAACGTCATGCTCTCCACATAAGAAGTCGGAGAAATTCAAACTCACCATCGAGGTCGTTGTTGTAGAGAAGCGTGATGTCACTGCTGATCGAGGACGGGGAAGGAATGGCCAGCGGCGTGGAGAAGGGGATTGAGGCCAGAAGGCCTAGAACCAGAACCAAAGTAAAGAAAATCATCTCGCGTTAACCTGCCTCGACGAAGCAATCGACGAGCTGGAACTGATAGTCGGCGCGGTCATTCGTCTTCGTTTTTATACCTGGGTACCAAGGACCGAAGCGATCCCGTTGACCACTACCGTGAGCCTACCACTGCAAGTTAGCATGATAAATTGATCCGACATGAACGTTGCATGCCCATGTGCACAACGCACACTCGTAAGAAGAGAATGCCTCGTGCGGCCTCATATGACACGGAGAAATCGCTGAAAGAGTTAAGAATCAATGAGCAATACGCTCCATCCTTGGATGATCTTCGGATAAACGGCTGACCCATCGAGGGCAGGACGTGGAAGAGGGATAATCTAGCTGTTGTACCTAAGAATATCATGCACGGCCGGGTAAGTCTTCTCTTAGATCATGTACTAAACCGGGAAGAGAGAATCGGGGGTGAACAACTCGAGGTGAAAATTTTTTCATGATCTGTTACATACCATTCAATTTATGCCATGGCCGGGGCCATGGGTTTGAATGATTTTGATAGGTGCATTCAAGTGCGACAGCTGCGCGCCACCGAACGACAAACGACTAAGACTCTCAGAGGACAGACAAGCCCGAGATTTAGATTGGGAAAGTAGCCATTCGGTCGCAGGGGGCGCGGCGTAGGTGGCTTCAGTGCGTTCACTTTAAGTTACTGCGCAGCTGGCAGCATTGTAAGCGGATTTCCGCGAGGTCTGATCGTGGTCATCCTGGGGTGGTTCTGACTTGAAGAATGAATTAAGGAAGTGTTGACGATATTCAAATCTTCTGAGATTAATGGTCACGACTATGGTCTATCTGCAGACAAGGTACGAAACTGGAGCATGCCAAGACAGTGCTCCTGTAGCAGCAAGCGGTCATAATTTGGATGTTGGGACACTAGGGCTAAGATACATAATAATTTTAGCTAAGACAGACGGATGCAACACAGCTGTAGGTACAGGGCGGGTGTAGATTATGATAAAAGCAAACCCGAAAGTAAGAAATCATCGCATCGGAACTCAAGGCCTGGGGAGGAATGACAAACAAAAGACAACTCAAGCCAGCTGCACCGTATTGCCTCCACTCACAGGCCCTGTGTCACCCTGCAGTGAAGTATTCGCAGGTACCTCGCTGACTCTCGTTCCTTGGGCACTAGCACCCAGCGCTGCTTGTGCCTGCGCAGCCACCGCTCCCAGAGCAGCCGGCGTACCGGTGCTATTTGCATGTTTTGCCAATTCTACCCGGACATTCTCCAGCATTTTCCGCAGCCCAACACGCTCGTTCACTAGCGCTAATCGCGCGCTCTCGAGACCCCTCCGCTCATCTTCCAAAAGCTCCTCGAGCTCTTCAAACTGCGCCATCTTCAGCTCGAGCTTCGTCAACGTCAGCTTAATCAGCGTGGCGAGTGTCGAGCGAATTTGAGTATCCTCAGCATCTGCCAGCGTCTTGGCGGCCTTGGCGGATGAGTTGAGTGCCAGAGTCGCAGCACGAACGACTTTTGAATGGGGGATGGACGTCGCCCGTTTAGGCGGCGCGGACTCCGAATCAACGACCATGAAGTCTGAGTCATTTTGGTGGGTTTCCCCTCCGCCTTCGGTATTCTCAGTTGCCGGTTTCTCACTAGGGGCGTCTTCTTCCATGCGTGATTCCGAAATCTTCTCTGCCCTTTGTCCCTGGTCTTCGGTAGACATCTCCCCCCCCTTATCCTCTCCGGAACCATCAGCTTGCGCATCCCCGTCCGTGAGTGCGTGGAGAGCTGTTTTCGCCGCTTCTGCAGCTACGCCAGGGTTGATCACGCCAGCAAGAAAAGCGACGACGCTCATAACCGGATTGTCCGCTTGCTCGAATGGTATGCGTGCATACCTTAATGGCCCTATGTCACCCTCCGTAGTGACATACTGATCCTCAATTGGAAGTTGGAGGAATTTCCGTATGCACTGCTGAGCACTGCGTGATCCGACGTGCTCCTCAATCGAAGACCAGTCATCGTCGTACATTTCCACACCCTCAAGCAGCAACAACACCTCTTGGTCGGTCCAATCGTCATCCGCGCTCGTTCCACTGCCATGATGTAATCCGCTCGCCCCGGATGCCGCTGTAAGCTTCACGAAGTCGCCGCTGAACATGGAAGACGAAAATCGACCGTCCAGATAGCACGGTGGGCAGAGCTCGAAGTTCTTTTGCTTGAGCGAATGGTATCGCTCCTGAGTACAGTCGACGCCACAGGTATCACATTGGTATTTGACCATCGGGCGGTCAATGCCGTTCGGTGCATCCGTGCCATTGGCGAGTGCGCTCGCTTCCGTGGCCGTGACTGATCGTGATGACTTGGATGTCGTCTGGTAGATTGAGTTGCGGAGCTCGACAGATGCAGGCGTAGAAGGAGCGAGTTTCGTAGCACCATTCACAGCAGGTCCACCTGGATGGTTGGCTGGTCGTGTACCGGGATGTAAAGACTGTAACCCGCGCGGTGTGTCCAGAATAACGCGAAAATGGCCAGTAAACGGTGGTGCTAGTGCTGCTGGCCGCTGGTCGGGGTCAATCTAGACATATGTGGGGGTTGGTCGCACTGTGCCTCGAATACGATATTGAGACCGCGGGTATACACACCTGATAATTTATGAGCCCCCATTGCTCCAAAAACGCGTGTACACGCATGATTGCGCACACATCTCCTGCCAAGTTTCTGCGACAAGCCGTTACAGTAAGGTATTCCGTGGGTCGAAGGCGGTACGTGTTCACCATAAAGTCGCGGTAATCTTTGTATACCGAGGGTGTCTTCGACCGATGTCGCGAGTTAAAGAATTCGGGAAGGGCGCGTCGTTCGATAGGGTGGATTTTTGACATGTCAAACCACGCAGAATACGAGGGAATGATGACCTCATGAGTTTGTGCCGCGAGGTATTTTCGGGCTTGCTCTTCCAGCCGTAGTCTGGTGGCTTCGAGTTGAGCGGGATCTTCTTCATCGTTCTCTTCTCCAGAATCGCCTTCCTCGTCAACTGCATCCACTCCTTCTGCCATAGAAACATCTCCAACATCCTCTCCACCTTCCCCCTCGCCTTCTCCTTTCAAGAGCCTGACAGGAACGGCAGATACGGGCTCACCAGAGGCTGGCGTGGCATTGTTTGGTGGCAGATTGCCAATGTCACCACCTTGAATAGGCTCTAGCTCACTGCGTTTACCAACGGCATTGTCTGGGTCCACAGCAGTCGCGCCCTGGTTTTGCTGAGGAACGGTGAGCTTGATTCGTTTCGCCTCGGACATGCTTGGAGAAGGGGATGCTGTACGTTTCGGCGAAGACATCTTCAAGTCAGAGACAGTGCCGTCCGAGAGTAAGCTTCGTCGGCTTCGAGTGTGAAGCCCGCTGAAGAATGAAGGCGACGCTCTTGCGGAGTTTACCAACATTATTGCTTAGTCGCTTAGTCATCAGATCGCGATCGGGAAAAGCAAGTCGGAAACTTTGCCCCGCGGACTCGGACTCGAGCTTGAAGTCAACAGCCGGGTTTGCAGCAGATCTTTACCGCGACAGTCAGATCTACTCTCGATCTGCATACTTGGGGAGGATATAAAGAAATCGAGCAAATAGCGTTGTGGTTCAATTTTACAAGCCAAATGGATACTTCGGTATATCACCATGACTGGTATCGACCTGGACTCACCAATTCTCGCATTGTCCCAACTATAGCGTACCCCAAACATAACTTCTTAGTGCGTATTATCGAAATCTATGATACAAAATGCTACATGAATGCCATCGATGATGTATTCCAAAATGATACGTGAGAAGTCCTTGCTTATATCGTGATGAATGCGTAACTCGGATGTCTTCAGAGAGCGGTAGGATTGTCTTGGAAGAAATTTCCGGTGAGCGCAGAGCTTTGCTCCCATTCAGCATCGGCAACTCTTTGCAAGCCATATCGCACTAGAATGCGCATAACTTCCTCTTCGTCATAAGTTCTTGCTTGAATGAGATTGACTTCCGGCATTGGTGGTAAGTCTGAGAATACCATTCTAGCCAGCTCAACTTGTTCCAGGTACGCGTGCGATGGGATACGAGGAGGATATCGTCGTTCTTCCTCGAGGACACGTTCAATGGACCCATGTGCACGGATGAACTTGAGCGCGCGAGCAGGACCAATGTTTTTGATACGTTGAGAGAAGTCCGTACCCAGAAGCAAGGCGAAGTCGACGAAGCTAGCACGATCCAATTGCAGAACGGTGCGGACATCCGTTCCTGATATGACAACTAACGGCCCGTTGCGGTTCGCAATGTTGCGGATTAATGGTGCATCATAAACCAAGACATCCTGCCAAGAGATGGGTTAATATATGATAACTGAAGATCATAGGATGGATAAAATACCGTATCTTCACTCGCGACGTAGTCCGCGTATCCATTCAAGACGAGCGCCGAAGCCAGCGCTTCCGCTTCATACGGACCCGTTGGTTCGATACACGGGACCCCCATTGCGGCTAGAATTTCCTTGCTTTCGATGTACGTTTCAGCAGTTGGGGGATGCATGCGTCGTCGAAAAGATTCCGCGATGACGCTGCTCTTCTGTGTCAGGTGTACTGCAGTTACCTGTGCGGCTTCTATATCTGGTACACTAGACGGTTGTTGCGAAAGTGTCTCCCAGAAAGTGCCTTCGTCCAGCGCAAGCTGGTACTGGGCTTTGGACATAGCGCGATCCTCTCTCTCCTCTACCTCCATGACGCCAGCTTCACGCACTTGAAGTGGCACGTCAGCTGCCCGATTCTCAATTGGTGGGCTCTCAGGGAGTGCGTCTAATTTGGGCATACTTTGACGATACTGTAAGTAGAGATTATCAAGTTCTGAGCGTACATCCTCGATAGGAGCCTCAGATACATCCAATATGTCCGATTCAATATGTGCAGTTGTTTCTGTCAAGTCGCCTATTGAGACAGTGGGTTCGAGCGTGATCATTTATCACAGGACGTACGAGTTTCACTCTGTGGTATTGAATCTTCCAAAAGCTTTTCGGATGTCGGTAACTCTACAATCGACTGGTCTTCATCTAGTTGTGATTCTGATGGCGTGTTGTCTTCATCTAGCTCTAATTCTGATGTCGCATCATCCTCATCCTCATCCTCATCTTCATCTTCATCTTCATCTTCATCTTCATCCTCATCCATCTCCAATTCCGATGACATATCGTCTTCATCCAGTGGCAATGCTGATGTCAAATTACCTTGTGGCTCTGGATCGTCAAGACCTTCCGAGGTCCTATGTGGTAGGACATGATGTCGTAGGGAATCAGTGAAAGAGGTCACAGAAGAAGTATACAACTGTTCTTCAGATGATCGTGAGGGGAAAGTCAGGACGTCTGCGAGTCCCTCGCTCACGTCGTCTGCTAAGGCTCTCCAGGCGTCTGCCATGAGCTGTTTCTGATCGAGATCTTCACAGTCTCGCCACTGCTGGAGGAGAAAATTGAGCCGGTGTAGCCTCTTAAGACGTTCGAACTCAAGAGCACCTCGTGCTGCGGTGGTCTGCCGAACGTTGCGCCGTCGCTCGATCTGGCGTGTTCAAGATCAATACTGTCATGACAAACACTTTATGGGGGTTTGCACACCTCCATTTCCTTGGCTAGGCTGCGCTGCTTACCATCAAAGACACAAATTGCTCGCACATCGCACTCTCGCAGCTCTTTGAGGATGCGATACCAGCCAAGGACATGTCGATGACGGTGTGGCATAGGCGCAAAATGCAAACGTTGAGTTATGAGGGTTCCATCGCTGATCTGATGCATCAGATAGATTCTGGCTATATGCACAGTAAACGTACATGACGATGGTCTTCCCGCTCAGCGAGCGCAACCGATTGGGAAGTGTTTTAATGACTTCAGGGCTGATAGGAATGAGAATCTTGCATCGTATGCCAATCCATGACAATCGTACCAGGTTTTTTGCAAAAACGGCGCGAGCCCGGAAACTCCCATGCGCCTGGCTGGATGAACCGCAATATGCTTGCGATAGTATAAACTCTGCGACGTCGAGGAGACTTGACTCCTTAGCCTCCATGCTGCACCTAACCCTAGGACCGAAGCTCAAGCGCTGGTCTAATGATGTAAGGCTGGGACTCGGTCTACTGTACTGATAAGGCAAGTTTTCCAGAAATGGATATGCACGTGGCCGTCCGTCCTGAATGTGCTGTGCCCAAATTACCACGTCGTCACATACAACACCGGCGCGAGACTCTTTCCCGACACGCCGTTCACGACCTCCAGGTCCCGTTCTTCTTCAAGATGTCGGTAATGCTAACGAAGTTTGAGTCCAAAAGCAATCGGGTGAAAGGTACGCGTTGTTCATCGAATATGCATCGAATTCTGTAGCGCATTAGTTCCAGGACTTGCGTTTCATCCTACCCAGCCGTTGCTCGCCGCATCCCTGCACAATGGAAGTATACAGCTGTGGAACTATCGAATGGGAGTATTAGTTGACAGATTTGAGGAGCATGAAGGTGCGTGCAGTTATAATCATTTTCTCGCCGGGATCTGACGCGGCTTCAGGGCCTGTTCGCGCTGTTGCAATCCACCCAAGTCGCGCGTTACTCGCAAGTGGTGGAGATGACTACAAAATCAAAGTTTGGGGTAAGATTGAATCCCTGAGGGGCTACATTTACTAATATCTTGCAGATATCCGGCCCCAAAATCGCCGTTGCCTCTTCACATTGCACGGACATCTTGATTATGTCCGCACGGTCCAATTTCACCACGAGATGCCCTGGATAGTGCGTCGCATTTTCACTGACGTAACTACCAGCGTCTGACACATGCATCCCGTCCAGCTTTCATGCTCGGACGATCAAACGATTCGGATCTGGAACAGCACATCGCGGAATTGTATTGCAATCCTCACTGGGCATTCGCATTACGTTATGTCAGCGCAGTTCCACCCGAAAGAAGATCTAGTCGTGTCTGCATCCCAGGACCAGACAGTGCGAGTGTGGGACATCTCGGGACTCCGTAAGAATACGCCAAACACGGCCCCGGGCACCTTCGACACATTCGACACATTTTCGACGGTGAAGTATGTCCTCGAGGGTCATGATCGTGGGGTCAATTATGCGACCTTCCACCCTACTCTCCCGTTGATTGTCTCTGCGGGCGATGATCGGCAAGTCAAAATTTGGCGCATGAGCGACACAAAGGCATGGGAGGTGGATGCTTGCAGAGGTCATTTCAACAACGTTTCTGTCGCTGTCTTTCATTCCAAACATGAACTGATCGTCTCGTGTGGTGAGGACAAGACTGTGCGTGTCTGGGACCTGACGAAGCGCTCGGCGGTGCAGACCTTCCGGAGGGAAAACGATCGATTCTGGACGCTCGCTGCACATCCCGAATTGAACCTTTTTGCGGCTGGTCAGTTCTTCGACTGAAGTTATAGTCTAGTGCTGACACTTTGCTCAGGACACGACAGCGGGCTGATCGTTTTTAAGCTGGAGCGCGAGCGTCCTGCGTTTTCTGTGCATGGCGACACCGTTTTCTACGTTAGGGACAAGTATGTGCGGTCATACGACATCAATAGCGGATCGGATATTGGCCTTCTTAGTGTGCGCAAATTTGGCAGCCCATATGTCCCGCCCAGGACGCTCAGCTACAACCCTGCTGAACGTGCGGTTGTGCTGACTATTTCATCGGACAACGGCCTATTCGAGCTTACCGCGCTGCCTAAAGACACTGTTGGTGAAGTGAAGGATTCATCTACAGACGGAAAGAGGGGCAGCGGACATGCCGCTATCTTCGTGGCTAGAAATCGGTTTGCTATATTGAACAAGACAACTCAGGTCGGTTAGGATATGTCACTTATTGACACCGCTGCTGACGATCAGATATGGGGAATTCAGCTTATCGAGGTTCGCGACCTCTCCAACTCGATATTGAAGACAATTAAGGCACCCACACAAACCAACGAAATCTTCTACGGAGGAACAGCAAGTCTCATTCTCAGCTCCGCCACTTCGGTCATACTGTATGATATTCAACAGCAAAAGACTATCGCCGAGATCACTACACCTCCTGTCAAGTATGTTGTTTGGAGCACCGACGGGTCTCTAGTAGCTTTGTTAAGCAAGCATAGTGCGTGATCTACTCTATGTCAGTGTATGCGAAACCAAATAGCTAACCTGACTTTAGCGATCACGATCGCCAACAAAAACTTCTCCCAGCACACCTTGATTCATGAAACTATTCGCATCAAATCGGGTGCCTGGGACGACTCAGGCGTCTTTATCTACTCGACCCTCAATCACATCAAGTACTGTCTGGCACAGGGGTTAGTAGTATTGCTTAGTTTCTTATTATTGTGCTGAACATATGATGAGAGCAGTGACCATGGTGTCATCTGTACTCTTGACAATCCCGTATACCTCACCCGCGTGAAGGGGAAAACTGTACACTGTCTAGACCGTTCCGCTCGTCCACGCACCATTACGATTGATCCAACTGAATACCGTTTCAAAGTCGCCTTATTACGCAACAATCACGAGGAAATGCTGTATATTATTCGCACCTCTAATCTTCTGGGACAGAGCATAATTGCATACTTGCAACAAAAAGGTTTCCCTGAGGTGAGTGACACTTACCGTATGTTATCGGGATCGCTCATGAAGTTTTAGATTGCACTCCATTTTGTCCAAGACAAAAGTACACGCTTCGATTTGGCCATTGAGTGTGGTAATTTAGACGTTGCGTTTGAGATGGCTCGCGCCATTGACCGGCCTGATTGCTGGGAGCGCCTCGCTCAACAAGCCTTGAAGCAAGGAAATCACAAGGTGAGCCATTCGACACTTGATCCGTAGAGGTGGCTCATTTTATGCGGGTAGATCGTAGAGAAGGCATACCAACAAACCAAGAACTTCGATCGCCTGTCATTCTTATATCTCGCCACCGGAAGCTCGGATAAGCTCTCAAAGATGCAGAAGATTGCCGACGCAAGAGGAGATCCAATGTCACGGTTCCACAACGCCTTATACGCCGGTGACGTGATGGGCAGAATTGCTGTGTTGAGGGATGTCGGCCTTCGTAAGTGATACGTCGACGGCTCCGATTCAGTACTATATTGATCATTGTTATCCATTGATTTTCAGATCCTCTGGCGTATCTAACAGCCAAGACGAACGGGTTGGATGATGTTGCCTCGCAGATCCTTGAAGCTGCTGGCTTGACTGACGCTGATGTCGATGATGTACCGTCGTTCGAGAGGTCGACTCTCAAGCCTCCCCCTGTTGTAACGCTGACCGAGAACATCGTCTGGCCTACATTGTCAACTGGAGAAAGCTTCTTCGATCGCGCCCTCGCCAATGGTCATTTGGAGAGTGGCACGGAGGTACCATATGTAAATGGCTTTGATAGCGCTGGAGCTGCTATGTCGTCGGCGTTGGACGAATGGGCGCGAGAAGAGGAGGCTCAGGAGGATGTCGAGATTGAAGAGGGCGCGTGGGATCTTGATGCTGAAGCTGACGAGTCTGAGGTCGAAATCGAGAATGAAGTGGGGGTGCCAGAAGAAGACGAGGAGCTGGGTGCTGGTGCGGCTCCTGGTATCAGTGAGACAGAATTGTGGGCACGCAACTCACCCTTCGCCTGTGACCATGTCGCTGCAGGATCATTCGAGACAGCCATGCAGGTAAGTACCGTCCAGTTCTGTTCTCTTTACAATTCTTCTAACGTATTGGCTATAGCTTTTAAACCGCCAGTTCGGCGTTGTCAATTTCACCCTTCTCAAGCCACTCTTCCTCGCGATCTATCGTTCTTCTCACGCGTACTTGTCGCCGCTTGCTTCGCTTCCCCCATTACAACTTCACCTCAGACGCAACCCAGAGGAGTCGTCTTCCAGTCGTGTGCTACCCGTCTCAGTGCAAACGCTGCAATCGACTCGACAGGGGCTCACAGAAGGTTTCCGATACCTATCTGGTGCAAAGTTGCCTGAAGCGCAAACTGCATTCCGTTCTATATTGCGAGAGCTTTTGTTGGTCTCCGTCATATCAGACGATGAGGCAAAACAGGTATTAAAGCCATCCGCATGCACTCCAGAGTGAACTTACTAATTTTCCTTGGCTCACAGTGGCGAGACATGGTCACCCTGGCGAGAGAATATCTTCTTGGTGTTACTTTAGAGATTGAGCGTCGACGCGTGACCCGCGATGAGCCTGACAATGTCCGCCGTAGCCTTGAACTTGCGGCATACTTCACACATTGTCAGCTACAGCCAACACATTTACAGATCGCCCTCCGCAGCGCTATTGGTGTATTCGCAAAGGCTAATAACCATGTAACAGCCGCAAGGTTCGCGAGACGATTGTTAGAGCTGAATCCCGATCCCAAAATTGTTGCACAGGTGAGTTCTCGCTGTGGCCATGTTCTAGGATGCCGTTTTAACCTTATGCTTGAAGGCTCGGCAACGCATTGCAGCAGGTGATCGAAATCCGCGAAACGCGGTGGAAATTTCGTACGACGAGTTCACGGAATTCGAGATCTGTGGCGCTAGCTTTACGCCCATATACAAAGGGTCGCCGAGCGAGCGCTGTCCATACACAAACGCGGCATATCTACCGGAATTCTCGGGACGACTGGATCCTCTCACGGAGCTCACTGTGATTGGCGCGGCGTCAGCTGGTCTTCCTGCACCTCGATCATAGCTATGGATTGGACGTTGCTACGCTCATTTCTGTATGACTGATACAAATTATTCAACGTTGGCTGGGGTTTTTATCATTTTCTCAGAGTCTGATGAGGTGAGCCCCTTCGTCTGTGCTGGATGGTGGGCGATATCCTCTAGATGTGATATATGTATGGGTTTTACCCCTGGGAATCTCAGCCCAATAACGAAGGTAAGTTTAACCATTAGGACACCCACGCATCTCTGGTGGACCCCCCTCGGAGCTACTTGTGTAACTTCAGGTGTCGGCACAGAGGCATGCTCGCGATATAGTCACGACTAGTCTTGCCAAGGACGTTACTGCCTCTGCCGGCTGTGTCCATTCAAATGTTGTTATGGGATTGATATGTGTGGTTAGACACACGCCCTGACCGTGTGATCCTGCCTCATGTTGATCCAAATTCCTCTGTCGGGCAATGTCCATTCATCAGCTCACTTATCTGGAATCTACGTACGCCAAGGCTATGTCTTGCAGCGCTTGGTGTCAGTGTACATATAACGCTGTCCCTGCTCGTATCGCCACCGACACAAGCTCATCATCTCCCATGGCCCACCTTCAAGTCCCTGCCAATACTATCCACAGACCTGCATCAATCAATTCCGAGCGGACGTTGACAAACACGAGCGGCGCCTTCTATCCAAACGACTGCGCGCCTGAAGACTACGGCGGCTTGCGCAGTAGGTCTCAATCTCCATCTAACGACTGCCCCCCCACTGGTCTCTTCACATCTCCCCTTTCCCGTTTGAACAGCAAGTTAAAGCCTCCATCCTCCGAAACAGAGGGAATTTCCGTTGTTCCCCATTCCAACGCAGCCGTCCCAAGTCATAATGTTGTGACTCCGGGCGTCAGAGGAGCGCCGACGCATGTTGCCACTCCGCTTACCTACATTCAGGACCAAGGTTATGCTATACTAGCCACTTCCCCAGAGCAATTCTCCTCCTGGAGATACAACGATCGAACACAGATGTGCGTAGCGAGCATGTAACCGTGAATCTACTGACAGCTGCGCTTGTAGACCCGAAAGCGATAAGGACCGTCCCACTGAACTAGCCACAATTCCGGCCATGCAATTCTCCTTCGTACGGTGGGTAATGCGATGTTGGGGTTCCCGCTATTGTCCGGATGCTGAGCTACCCGCAGCCAGTTGGTCAAACCTCCGTGGGTTGCGAAGGAGCACCCAGGAGGCCAGCTATACTTTACCAAGTGTACAGATGACGTGATTTATTTGCTTACTTCTCATCTCCTATCTCGATTAACTCTTGCTTTACTGGCAGGGTATTCGGATATTCACGGACAACTGTTTGGAGGACATCAACACACTGGCGAAAATTGACGCTTGTGCCAAGCAGTTGATATATCGCATCAACGAATGGAGGGGCACCTCCCGTGGGCCAGCTGAAGTACTCGAAGATATTGAGCTTGTGCTGGACGTTAGAGAGGTCGATGGTGAAACGGAGTGGAGTTACTATCTCGCTAGCCTGACGAAGTGTTCCATCTTCTGGTTGGACGAAGTAAATGTGGATGATCTATCTCAAGGCTTACGCTTTGTTTTCAATTTAAGTGATCTCAGTGAGTGTTCTTCAAGCTCTTTGTACCATGCGCTTCATTACGCAGCTATATCATTATTGACCATACCCAAAGAATATGCAATACATGCACTCTTTTGGTACTGTTTATCCGGGCATAGTATGTGCAGTACCTGACACTTCCGTGATCGTTTCTCATTTTTTGACAGACCCTTCAGGATACTAAATTTCCCATAGGCTTCATATCTCAATGTTTCCCTGTAGCCATAAAATAGGGGACCACCACGTCAATCAAGCGAACCAATTACTCAATTACACCGCCTTCGGTAAGTTGAAATACCTGTATCTTGAAGAGTTGTGCGAATGTGAATCGCATCAATGCTTTCGCAGATTCAAAAACGTCTGCGACATCAACTGCTGCTCTAAGCTACGAATATCTCACAGCGATGTCTGATTGTGTCAAGAATGCCACAGGTAGGTTTCCCAGCCGTCAAATATCTCCTTGCTTAAGCTTCATTAACCTTCAGCAGATGGCGAAAGCCCCAAAGATATCCACAGTGTTTACACAGTAGGCCAGTTCTATCAGTTCTCTTGGTCAATTTTCCGTCGTGTTGACTCACCTCCCAGGGCTAACTTTACATCTGCTTAGTATGTGGCCTGGTGATCATTGAAGGCGTGGTCATTAACTATTTTCAAGATTGGGAAAAGTTTCTCAACTATCATGGGCAGCCTGAAGCACGCTTAGACCAAGACAGAAGCGTTATGCAAAGCACTAAACGTGAACGCACCTGGAGGTTCTTGATACTCTCAGCTCTGCTTTTCTTCATGCCGGATGATTATTTGGATAAGCTGCAAAAGCTCTGGATTGATAAGACAATCAACCACGTTTCATGGCAGCGATTTATATCAGAAATGCAAAAGGACTGGGAGAACTCCATTACTCCTGTGAGTCGCGTTGCATGCATTTTTGATATACAGCTCAAAACCCGGCATTTAGGCCACAGTACTATTAACTGCAAACGTGGGATTATTGGCTATACAGAGTATTGATACGGGGCATCCGGCACGCAGCGTCGCGCAGATTGCCAGCTATATATCCACGTACTTGAGCTTAGGGAATATTCTCCTCTGTACCGTTCTGTCGAAGCAACATCGGAACGGCTTACGAGAATCTGTCCAGGAAGCCGTCAGTGTCATTACCGAATCTGTGTATTGTGTTTACTAATCCTGTAACAACATTCATTCAGGCGGAGTATTTCGACAGGAGATCTAGAGTGATGGCGGGGCTAGCCCACCTAGCAATTATCTTCAGCCTTCCAGATGCGCTTTTCATGTGGGGGTAAGGCGTTGATCATACGAAGTCACATTCTGCTAACTAGGACTTCTGCAGAATGATCGCATTCTGTGTAGCAACAGCATGGGTCTGCTTATATGACACCAGTCTGTGGACAAAATTTGCTACCGCAATTGTCCTCGGCGCTGTGTCGTGCCTCATCTTCTATGTCGTTGTGGCAGAGCTGATGTCGGCTGGAACAAGGAATCAGCCACACTTCGTTCGCTTCTGCAAGTCGGCTGTAAACGTCTTTCGTAGATCCAAACAGTATCTCATCGACCGCCGGCGACTCAAATGGGCCTTTTGCCGACGGGAAAAGCGAGACGAAGAAGTGCCACTTTGAAACCTCCTGTTTGCGATGGAATGCATCTTTGCTGAACTGGGTACGTCGCGCTGTCGTGGGAATTTGTTGTTGCACAGCACTAGACATATATCTCTGGGAGAAATCGCGGCAGGAACATGTATTAGGTGAAAAATGCGGCGAGAGAGCTCATGTATGACATACTCCCTTGTTTTCGTTCTGCGACACTAGACTATGCTTGAGCCCTTTATGATGATGATGTGTATGCATCGGTACACTGCCATTAATGCACCGAATTGACCAGCAATGGAATGACCCGACTGCTAGCAACTCGTTTCGTGCTTCTTAGAGCTAAGTTATGTCTCGATACATAATAGTTACCACCACCAGCGCGACTTTCTACAACCGCTCGAGACCTATTTAGCATAGATCACAAGATAAAAATAACGATATCGAAAATCAAAACCAGTGCATGTGTAACACCTACACGTATAATAACGATCGACACTCCCACTTCCACTTCAACCAAAACTTAGCCACCCCCTGCGCTGTAATCGCTGATATTGGATGGCGTGCGAGACATATGTGGAACGGGAGGTATGATGAGCGTGTTTTGATCTTTGAGCAGACGCGCTTCCCTTGCATGAGCTTGTCTGACATAGGCATATCGCTGGAAATGATTCAATCCTTGGAGGAACTGTACCCCAATCTGCGGCATTATGAAAAGATGTCAGTTCACATGCAATTCTTCTCTAGAACAGCACCACAGACCGGATATGTGCGAAGCTCGTTAAAAATATCAATAGTCAACTCCCGCACAATCTCATTTTGATGGAATAGCCCATAGCTCAATGGCAATAGCCCATTGTGGTGAGGTGGCATAAGGGACAACAACTATCGACGAACGTTTTGTTAGCGGTGTGAGGGGCGGTTACACGAGTCTAGCTGCAGACGCACCTGCGTGACTTGATCATAATCCTGCACATTTTCAGCCAGCGATCGCATAATGAGCTCCGCTTCCCCATCAGATATTTTCTTCGTGTGGCGTAGTCTCCAGAGCTGATGAACGACATCGAACCCTTGCATTGGGTCTGTAATCAATGTTTGCCGGAAATCCTTGCGCAACTCATCAGACCCGTCTGAGCAAAAAGGAAGACCTCAACTCACAATTTGGAACAACGTGTAACTCTCGGTTCTTCTCCAAGCTTCAATTCGGCTTGCATTTACTGCAATTTCCCGCATACACATTCCTTCGTCGACGAAGTCGATACCACTGCCCAAACGTCTGGGCTCACCAGGTCGTTCGGAGTATGTAGCGCTCGGGTAACCGATCATAGTCGATCCCATAGTGTCTTCTTCGTAGCGGGCTGCGAGTCGCACAAAGCGTCCCGCATACTCAGTGAATCGCGCCCGCACGTGAGCTTCTCCAAAGTGAGAAGATATTGCAGACAGAATCTGCAACATATGTTGTAAACCAAAACGCGCATATTCTCACCTTAAGATTACTCACGTCTTCCATAAACAAATTATCTGAGCTGTCGGCCTTGCTTGAAAACTCGGCACGCTGTGAGTTGCCTGCATCTTTACTTGCGCGCACTATGTCCTCTTCGCTACCAGCCGACGCTTCCGCTTTGAGGGTACCAGTGCGCATAACCAATTGGCTCGACGTCAAGATAGGGTTTGTAGGATAGTCAAGATGGATGTTCTTGGACACAACCATTCGACCAGTACCCACGTCGCATAATAAGTCCCACGAACCAGACGCTTCAAATATCGGATTCGTAACACCGGCAATGTAGCCTGAGCTGGAATAAAGCCGTAATATCAGTTTGTTTGCGTCATAGATTCAAGACGTGCTCAAGCTGCATTTAAAACGAGAATCCACTAACATTGATTCCCACTCTTCGCGATTTGTCAGATTGGCATACGGAAATGCGCGCTTGATAAATCCTCTCAAGACAATGCCACAACCAGAGCCGAGAGCACAAGCGGATAGAACATAACTCGAAACCTGGCCAGCTGGTCTATGGTGACCCATGAAAATTATCCGTTTGCCAGTCACGAGGGCATTGAAGAGGACTATGATAGGCGGCGTCAAGGCACCATTGGTATGCAAGTGTGGATGTAAAGGCCCAAGCGATGACGCAGTTGGACCGGAGAACGTCTGGACGAGCTGAATGAGGGAATACTGTGGCAGGACTACCGCTGTCAATATCACAAGCAGATGAAGTTACGTGCAAATAGAATTTACGCACATCACCAACCTCTTCAGGGAATGTTGACAGGGGTATCTTGATTGGTAGGTGATGGTCGTTGAAATCGACTGTGGTGGGGAAAAAATGTGAATCTTTGAGAATTGACATAGCAACACCGGCAGCAGTGGACCCAGGGGCAGGCTCGTTCCGGCCGTGAGATGAAGATGATGCATCCGTAGATGCGCGATCACGATAAGTAGCACCGTTAGTCGTTCCGCCGACCTGGTCCAATCCACTTTCATTGCCGACCCACACTGCGCTGCCATCGAGGGAAAATGATGTCTCGGACGGAGAATACTGGTTCCTGTTCTGTGCGACTTTGAGACTATCAGACCGGTTCAGATCCCTCCCTCTCATACCATCATTCTCCTTGTCTTCTCGGGCTCGCATTAGGATTCCTTCCTCAAAGCTAGCGTTAGAATCGTACGATGCACTGGTACGATGCGCTTGACGAGTAGAGTTGACGTTGTGCTGTGTCGCCGTCCCAGGGTCGCCTATGATTTCCTGAAGATAGTCGTCGAATTTCTCGACGAACACATCCTTGCGCTCAGATGTACGCATTATGAGCTTCTCGTAGCGACTCAGTGCCGGAGCCATCGAAATGTCCATGCAGTTAACAGCATCGAACAAACGAGACAGGCAGTCTTGCGATGGGTTCGTGAAATAGTCGTCCAATGCCATCAAGAGAACCGGCTGCGAAAATGAAATGGATCACTTGGTATATAGAATCAACAGTGTCAGTTAACGTACCTTGAATATTTGTATGAAGGGGTGTCGCGTGCATATAGCCATCGCCTTCACGACAGCACCTCTGAAAGCCTCTGTCAAGTACGCCAAATGCGCTATGACCGAATGACACACCTTCGCGCAGTTTTATCTAGTTTTGTCCGCACCAAATTCAACACGTACAGCAGTTCTTGCGGCTCGTCGTCCGCATCATTTCCATCCCGGTCACTCCCATCCACAGGCGGTCCGTTGACATCGGGAAATTCCAGTGCGAGGATAGGTGAGATAGTATTGAACGGCGTTTGGTTGAGGAAGAATATAGTCCAATCTTCCGGCTGCTTCTCAGCGCCGTCGGGGAGCATCAAGTTGGCCAAGAGACTGCCCACAGACGTGAGTTGTCATGGCTGAGGGCATGACACAGTCCAGGAGTAGAACGCGCACCCTTCATCAGTGCCCAGAGGTTGCGGGAACTGATATGTGAGCTGGGCACCGCGGTCGATATCGAAGTCTGCGAGCAGGACAAATGAGCAATGGGCATCGGGGGCCATGATGCAGCCAGGATCTGCACGCAATCGGATACCCTAGCCAGTGTCGAGAGTATATTGTATAGTGTAGTAGGAAGATCCCAGGTTGGGCGCGTTCGAGACTTCGAGTTCAGAAGTGAACCAAACGTTCGGTATCTTTACTCTTTTGAGCCGACATGTCATTGCCATGTCCGTACCCGGGATCAAAATTCTGCCATACTCGGCGACGATCCGAAGTCTTTCATGCATGATGTTGAAAAAACCTCACATTTGCAGGCAACTCCCAAAAACAGTCATGGCTACATTATGGGCGACGTCACAGAGGAATACATGCTACAAAACAATCTACAAGTACCACAAATACCTTCGGTCGACATGATCGTACAGCAGAAAGCAGAGAACACAAGCAAGTAGGACCAACAGATTTTCAAATACCAGCCAAACCGGTCAAGGCCGCCAGAGCTAACTTGATTCGAGTTATGAATTCGTTGAGACGTTGACGTGTTTTCTCTTCGTGAGCAACGAGTGTCAGCTTGTCCGAATAAAATAACCAGCTCGCAGATAGGGAAGAGATGATCGGCGAAATACCGGCCTACCGATGAGCGACATGGGCGGTAACTGTAAAGACATGCCTTGTTCTCTCTCCAATTCCATTACAGCCTTGACCTCCTTCTCAAGTGCATCCGCGGTCCGATCGCTTTCGTATGTAGGGCGAGAGGTGGACCACGCGTGGAACTCCAGCATAACCTCAAGTAGCATAGTATTAACTTCTGAGGGTGAGATGATTTTAAGCACCAGAAAACATGAAGGGACGGCTTGGATCATTGCACTGTTCAAATGCGCGCATATACGCACTTTGCAAGAATTCGGCATCTCGCTTGGATTCCTCGTCGAAGGGCTCCACAATCGCAGTGCGATGGTCAAAAGCGGGAAACGTTTCTGCGATGATTTCAGATACAGAACGCTTCGGTGTAGCACTGCATTCTCCGGTGTGCGCCTGGGTTGGCGATATAGGGCTTGGGGGAGTAGACATGAAGGATCACTTGAACAGGCGAGATCTAAGTGGGAGTAGACTCTGGAGGTAATCTAAGAGAATCTAAGCAGCAAGCATTGAAACTCCGACGTCCACAAAACAACGCGACGCGATGACTGAGTCTTAACTTCTTTACTCAAGCTCGTGGCAGATATCAGGCGAAGGGGGCGGAAGTAATGGGCATTATGAACAGACGGCAATGCATCAGCGTAGGCTGTAAGTAGACTCTAGTGCCTACTGGAGGAAATTGATCGTGATATTGCATTGACGCGTATGTCATAGTATAAAGAGCACGAGATTATTGTAGCATAGGAGATAGGCAATGGAACAAATGTGACAATCACGCTGCTGGACCCTTCAGAGGTCAAGTGGCTTGTTATAAATCTCATTCTACACAAAATGCGTCAGCGGGCCATCAACATGCAGGAACACATGGTGCTTCAATTACCATGGACTCAAGGCTCTCGAGCTGTGTGATGCATCCCAAGCGATGAGTGCGGTAATGCGAACAGCTTTAAGACAACGTACCTCCGGCTTCGGCACTGGAAGAGCCTCGGATGCAGATTTGTGCAAATTGATGTGAGCAGTTATTTTTGAGATCTCCCGTCTGTATAAACCATTTCAGAATCAATCTACGTGTAAGATGAACGAACACACGTTACCGAGCTCAATAATTCCGCATGAGTTTCAGTGGGCCTACGACCTATCTTCCCGATCAGTCTCATACGAACGTGTTTTTGTGAATCTACGACTATGACTCACGGAGGGCTCTCGCCAGCGCCTACATGCGAATGCGGTTAGCAAAGACTACACAGAGCATAGAATACGCACATTGACAAAGATACCCCCTTTGGACGATCCAAATGTCACTTGGTCGTCCTCGCACGCTGCCCAGGATGTCTGGGTGAGGCCATTAATGTACGGTGATATAGCTTCAAGCAACAATACACACTACGTCAGCAACTTCAGGAATGGCTTTGACAGGAATGTCGGCGAGCGGCGCAGCAGGGTGGAATACATCCTTAGACGTCGACCGCTGCGGAGCGTCGTCGGCAGTCGCTGCTGCTGATGACGACATTATATTTTGGCAACGAAACGTTCCATGCAAAATCGCTCACAAATTTCTTGAGTACCCCGTACGCGAACTGAGAAAAATGTATATAAATACTTGGTTAACCAACTATGTCTTGTTTTGAGACGTACTGTTCTTGACCGCCTCTGAAGATGGTAAACTCATAGTACTAGAGGCAGCGGATACAGGTGTCGGAGGCTGACAATCTTCGCTGGTGTTCGGAAGATCTTTGGTCCACGCTATCAGTGCGATAGCACCCTTTCATATGTATTTGGACCTCACCTGCAGCGCTACCTGAGTGGCAACAATCGAAAACCATCTAGCGAAGAGCTCTATTAGCTTTCCGAAGATAAGAACCAGAAAACACACCATAAAATGCGCGCCAACTGGTATATGGTTTACTAGTACGTCATGGATTTCCTAGTATGATCCATTGTTAGAGAATACGCGGACAATGGTCACATGAAAAGCCTCCTACATCGTCCATGATATAGTTATCGACACCATCATCGTTCTCGTATCGGATATCAACCGGCCAGATAACTGCGAGTAAATTCTTGCTTCAATTTACGTTCATGCATCCGAATCAAGTGCATACCTTCGTCATACCCGCTCCTCTCGGTACCATCTGTATTCCGTACAAGGGCCCCATGCCCTGAGACTGTGGAGCTCTAAGACGACTGACACATTCTATGGGAATGCGACTACTTACAATGGAAGACAAAGTGGTCGCCCGGCTGCGCATCGGCGACTAGCTCTTTCATCGCCTTTTCCTGTATGATCGCGGTCAATGTTCTAGTATGACAAGCGTCAAAGCGGAATGATTACTATGTTTTCGCGAGTGGGCCACGGATAGTCGTTGTTCTCATCGTCCATGAGTATGGTAATATCTTCCCGCTTATATTTGAAGACGTCTGATAAGAATATGACGGACGATGAGATATAACGGGGTTGTCTAACAAACTGGGAATACACACCAACTAAGAGGTCACTGAGAATGCGGGGGTCGTTGTGTGTTCCGACGAGATCCATCTCATATTGTTTGAGCTGCGAGTACTGCACAGCGATGCTCAGAGCTCTGCGGAGTGGCGGACGGCTGTTTGACGTTGGGACGGGCATGATCAGTGGTGAGTGGTGTGGTCGATCACCCGGATCACCCAGCTTATAAGGGTGATCCTAGACGCCAATGTGTTTTCATGCCAGGCGCAGTCAGATACGCCCATAGCACGAACTTGGCACAGGATAGCACCGGACGAAAGGCATGGAAGCTTCAGCCACTCGAGCTAAAGCCAGTTACCGCTTTCGCCGGGATCACAGTACCGCATTTGGTACAGCATTCCCACTGGGGCCCAGCCCAGCTCTCTTTTCCCCGACCTTCTTCAGGAATCAGGACAGCGCCGACAGGTGAATGGCCCCCTCCGATGCTTCTGCAGTCTGGCCATGCAAGGGCGGCAGGCATACCACACGCCTTGCGCAACGGAGGGGGACACGTGTGCATCGGAATCTAACTGGGACCATTCATGCTAACATTAGCACGGCGCCGGCGACAAGGGAGCTCTCTCATGAGAACAGGTGCACTGTGTCGATAACGACACAATTGGACGGTGTTCATCTTCGTGGATTTCAAATATCAGGATTGACAGATTTCTCCGTGTCTTTGACCATGACTCAGGCCTCATTAAGTCGAGGCGAGTTATGCAATGAATTGCAGACTGTACAACAAGCTTCTGTGAGTGTCATCACAGGTCTGGACCTAGAGCCGATCGAACGGGTAAACGATTTGGAAATCCGAGAGCTGCAGAGCATTAGAGTAGAAAAAGTACGGACAACCTACTGATACAGTCTACCCAGTAGGCTATATAAAACGGAAAACCTCAAACATCACTCTGACTGTTATACAATTACCGCCTTAATCACAAGTCGAAGCCACTTTTGAGGACCGTCCCCTAATATCACAGACATAAAATGATTGATTATAAGCGGCTGATGGACTGAACATAGACTCACCATTGACATGTTACTTTCCAACTATCGAAGACTACTTTTAGTGCGATATATTGGAGATCTTATGAGAACTTCCACCCACCTCGGGAGTCTGTTCGCTAAGGAGGGCAGAGGGATTACGCTCGTTGACCCCCTTGATCATATCACCAACGCAATGTCTGCAAGATGGCAGATCAGGGCGAATTCGGACAGCAAGGATGTGACCTCACGTTACACAGCCGAGAATTTGCTCATGTGAAGCATGGGGATGATGAGCTGCAGAAGCTCAGTTTGTGTGCTAAGCTTATAGAACAAAAGCGCATACCTAGGGCCTTCGCCAACGCCTATGATAGTGTTTTAGACCGTGCTCAGACGCATTCCTATAACAGCTGCTTACTCTGATGAAAATGCCACCCTTGGAATTCCCAAATGCAGCTTGATCATCTTCGCATGCAGCCCAGGAGGTCTAGTCAAAACATTTGAAACCATGAAACCAGGACATGGTTTACAATAAAAATCAACGTACAACGTCGGCAAGAGCTTGAGGATCCGCAGCAAAATGGTGTTTGGCGGGATCACTTGACGGATTCTCCTCCGTCGCTCCATCTGCAAAGGTATGTATTAACTACGGTCTATAACCACCCCGAATATTTGAGATACGCACGGGAACCTTCGGCGTGTCTTATGCGAACTAGAGAATGTCAAATGAAGGTAACACGGGATGATAAGCATAATGATCACTACGAACCACTCTTTGGCGGGTGCACTGAAGGTGCACTGCCTCTTCCAAAAGCCCGTCTGGGATCCGACAAGTATACCGGTGATATCGGGGAGTCGCAGTTGACCTGATCGCCTTCGCATGCTTCTGGGAGATCTAGAAGAGTGTATAACTGTCAGCATGGAAGTTCAAAATCAGAGTTTATGGACATCTCACCCGCCATGCTTCCAGAGTGGCAGCAATCGAAAACCATCTATAGATAATATGCAAGTCTGATTATACGAACAGAAATATGGGCTTGAAGACATACCATACAATGAGCACCCAGTGGAACGTGTTTGACAATAATGTCATGAATGAGCTACAGGTCGGACGTCTTAGCTAAAGAAAGCTAATCAAAAGCGATCGTTATCGTGTACATACGTCATCCATAATGGTAGTTTTCTCGTCGAAGTCGTTCACGTCTTCGTACACAGTAACATCTACCGGGAATATCACTGCATTCTCACAATGGCTCAACGTAAGATGGTGACTGTCTAAGACTGGAGCTCACCTTCGTCCAGGCCATCCTTCTCCGTGCCATTGAGATTTGGAACTTGGCCACCATGGCCTGAGACTGCATTGAACATGAGCTTTGTTAGCCAAACAGCTGCAACCAGCTAGCTCAAAGGACTCAACAGTGGAAGACGTAATGGTCGCCAGGTCGAGCGTCCCTTACGAATTCATGCATTGCACGAAGCTAGGAGCGACCGAGCAGCATGGTGAGCAAGACTCCAGCGCATGTCATATCCACATAGCGACTCACAATATTTTCGCGTGTGGGGCTCTCATATTGTCCGCTTTCATCGTCCATCAGGATGGTGAAATCCTCATCGCGGTAATGAAAGTGTTCTACAGCCGAGGTTAGCGTTGCACCTCCAGGTCGCGCGGTAGAGCACGACATACTCTTCAACAGCCTACGCAGAGTAACCGGGTCCTTGTGCGCGCCGCGGAGTTCTAGGTCTGGTACGTCGTCCGGGCGAGAGGCGTACTGTACGGCGATACTGAGGACCTTTCGTACTGGGTCACGGTGTCTGTGGTGGTGGGTGATAGTCATAGTGACATTGATTGGGATCCTAACTCGGTGCCAGGGGACTATTTAAGCATCATTCGCCTGGCAGTGCACAACAAGTTGCATGACGGTGGTCACGATTGGCAACATACCTAAGGAGATCCGCTTGCAGGCGTATGATCTGACACATTACGACCGACGGCACCGCTCACCCCGAAGACCGAGTCAGACTGACTAATTAGTCGTTGGAGGCGTAATGGGGAAGCATGTTGAGTCCCTAGCGCCTTGCCTCCAATGGCTTAGTGCCATCCGCTCATGACAGAATTTTGCAAAGGAGACTGTAGCCTTGACGGGCAGAACGGGAGTATCTGGAATATCCCGCTTCGGCGGTTATTCCTCCATGAGACCTGGCGGGCGGCGATCATCCGAAACTGTGAGGAAATGCACTTTGAATCCTTGGAAGACATGTCAGCGAGCCACGTTCTGTCGCACATTGACGTCGTACCTTAGTGGCCAAGTGCTCGATACGTTACGAGAAGCCGCATACCGAGACTAATCATGGCATGGCGACTGTCGAAGGCGCTTGTCAGTGGTTTCAAGACCACAATCATGATTGTGGTCTACGATGTGCTATGGGTGGTTGCTTCTCTGCTTCTCTGAGATGGATAGCTGCTCCCAAAAACAGCTATGCAGTATCAATCTCATTCGTTTTTAGGTAATCAAAACGCACAGGTCATTTAATTTGCGAATCCATAATATCAAGTATAAGTGTCTGACTGGCTGAACACGGTCCAAATCGTGTCTAAGGGTATATGGACTATCATAATCAGACGTCGGTAGAATTTAAACGATGCAAGAATCTGATTCGGAATCTTCATGGCCGTGTTTCGAGGCATCCATCCATCTAGAGATGCATGCAGTACACGGGAGCAGCCGAGGAAAGGATATTCCCAAAACGCATACCCCCATCGTCATAAACCCAGCCAGCAAGATACCGACCACGTAAATGTTGGTTGCATCCATGAGCCACAGAACGCCCTGGAACGAGAACGCTCCTAGCGCCCAGAAGAACAGGGCCCTGGGAAGACTGAAGGCCAGTGCGGTCCACTGGTAGCCTGAGGTCTCCCGCTTTACTTCCGTGAGATAGTTTGCCTAGATCCGCAATGAATAAGATAGGGTCAGGAATCGGAAATGAGGTGTCCTTACAGCATCTGATGCATGGAAGTCTTCAGCGCCGTGGTGTCTAGTAAGAAGCACGATAGCAGACACGAGCGCAGTATTGCAGCAGAGCACGGAAGCGAGGACCACGGGTCTGGTGACACTCGGTTGCAGTAGAAGGAGAACATCCATGCTGGTCAAATTCATCAGCTACCATACCATACTGCAGAACATAAAGTCGTACTCACATCAAGAGCGCAAATGTCTAGAAAATTCGCAGAAGCCTGATCAACAATGGGTATTAGATTCCACATAGAAACACTCACCCAGAAAGATGTCAGCTTCCAGTCTGCTTGATATGTTCTCATAGACTGTTTCCATGGCTCCACATATACCAAATTATCAACGTTCAAATCGTTCAGTTTCTGCAGATCACCATCGGGCAATCTGAACATAAGGCGAGAAGCTAGACGGAACCACCAAGTTTCGTTGATAACAGGTTCGCGAAGAATAGACTGGTCTCTGCTCAGCCGAGCATGCTCCTGGCCGTAATGGGTCGCGAAACGATTGTGGGCTGTGGGAGAATACATATAGGCGACGGTTCCCGGGGACAAGCGGGTCGTGCTTACAGACAAAGGCCCAGAGGCGGGCTAAGAAAGTTATCAGCTTGGGGGTTCTGTCGCGTGAATATTCTACTCACCAATTATGGATACAGAATACGCACTAACGATACAGCCTATGTAGCCATCAGCAGCTAGTCAGCTCTAGTAAATGCGCAATTACCAGTGCAACACGCACATTGAACTGAATTCAGCAGGTCTATAAATTCCGCGCACTGTGTCGCAGTGTATGGGAACGTTGAAAAGGCAGACGTCATATGATCTAATGTCCGATAAGTTAAACAAGGCCATGCATTGCAATACCAGGCGAAAAGCTAACATACCAGCTCTAGCATGAATAAATATGCTTATGAGCTCATCCCTCATCAGCTTGACTTCCTCGCATCGATGGCATGGGAAACGATCGATATGGACCCAGTAGTGCTCTTCTAATGCCAGCCGCATATGTGAATCTGAGGCTGCAGGCGGCAGGTTGAGATCCTCCGCTGACACTTTCTCGATCCAGAATTCAACTCGGGTGTTGTAATCAACGAGGTAATAAAGGCACGATTCGGCTGCGTCATCCAGCTCCAGGAAGAGTTCGGTGGACTCTGGCAGTTGGACCGCACTCGCCGTCAAGCGATCATTGAAGATCGCTATCCAGTATTGAATTTTTTCCTGTACATCGGGATCGTACAGTTGCACCTCGGTCACGATCCTAAGAGATGTCTGGCAGACAAAATAGACTTTTCCTTCGGGATGTGTGTAGGTGGACCAACCGGGAGGCAGGTGACATGGCCTGCGATGGGTGAGGATGTTGATCATTCCGAGCATGATCTAGACTCACCCCGCCTCTTTTGCAAAGCTGCAGAATCCCGGCGAAATAGTGCTGTGGCTCGGGATGACACTGTGGGGCTGCAGTGATCAACAAAGGCGAAATGATGCGAACCATGGTTTCGACCAACCTGCTTGTGCTATCATAGCGAGACGTGAATGGGGAAGCGATAGGCTTCAGATTCCCAGACGGTCTTGCCGACTTTTCAGTGACAGTCACTTGCAAAAGGGCCATTGTAGAGTTTTAAGAGTTGGTGGTGGTAGCTAGCCAGGAGCGAGTCAGCAGGATATATACCCCGGACCATAAGATACGTGTGGCAAGACTTGGTTGACGAGGCTGAGCAGGTGATACTTGGAGTAATCGAGATTGAAAACTCGTGCCGCACTGCACCGCCCTAATTCTAGGCGACCACAGCGTTTTGCACCGCTTAGACGAGATGCATACCCCCGTAGTTGTTTAAGTGGCGTCGAACATTTCGCACTGCACGGCACCTAAAATGCATTGCTATACACCGATACTGGCAAGCAATGGCTCAACTCGAGTCTCGAGGGAATCGACATTGACTCAGAGCGGAGCCTCAGACACGCGCGAGGTGGCATCAGGTTCTCGAAGGACCTCTCGCACTATCGTATAAAGCTATAGGCCCATCGCTCGCCCTCGACCCACTATCCATTGCCTCGTCCACACCTCGACACCATGGCCGAAGCTCAGTCCCCCGATGTCAGGTTCGCGCTCTTGTCTCGCTCCCACTTCATCCCGACATGACATGTCGAATATTCCAGCGCACCCGAGGCCACCAAGCCGGAACTCAGCAATGAAAATGCATCGGCCGAGGATGCGGGCGTGACATCGGAGCCAGCTGCACCCGCTGCAAGTGAGCCGCAAAAGCCAGCCAGGTAATTTTTGTACATGCCATCTCGGCTCATCTCACACTGCGAACATTGTAGTTCCGAGCCATCAGCCCCATCTAGGTTCGTGTATCCATGTATACAGTGACATGTCGGAGCTCAAATTCATGCACTCCACAGCACCGAGGATGCAGACGATGACGATTTCGACGATGAAATCGACGAGGAGAGCCTCAAGCCGCGTGGGAAGCCAGTATACCCCTCCGCGAATACCAAGCAAGGAGCTAAACGCTGAGCTGGAGATCTTATGGAAGGACATCTGTGTAAATTTTTAATTCGGTGGAATTGGATGTACTTGTGAGAATTTTGTACGGGTGTCGGGATCGTGCCTAACAATGTCAACTAATTTACATCGCAATCCTCCGAGTCGCATAGCAATGATGGCATCGCCATTCACAGTCCTTGGGAAAGAATTTGCTCTTAGGTGACACGACATCATGTCAAACCGTATCTACCACATTCCCCATTACGGGTCGCAGAATAGCCGTATCCGAAAAAAGACATACACCTGTGCTCAGGCGATCGGGTAAAGGGCGCAGTCCGCAGTGGACCATGGAGGTTCCCCCGATCGGTATTCTCCACCTCATGTAAGTCATCGAGTCCTCCTGAAGTCTGCTTATGGTTGTACAAGCTCCCGCATCAGTACATAAAGCCCCACTTACTGTGGTCATTGACGGCTCCGTGGACTCTAAATAAGTGTGCGATCACCATGCGTGCCAGCCTCTGCTCAGCTACGCTGACATGGGTAAGGGTTATGAGTCACACATCGTGCCCTTTGGAAGCGCAGGCGACGAGCCACCACGCTGCAGCACGTAGGAGGTGCCAACGAACGGGCGCAAAGAGGCAGGTACAATCGTTCCACCAGCACTCCTCATGCCTTCCTGCCAGGAACACATGAGGGAGACCTCAAGTTCCGGGCAGTTTTCCGGACACCGGACGCTGTCATCCTAAAGTAGAGTTGTCAAATGGAAAATGAATTAATCGCCGTCCCTCAGCATAGCATACCCGCATGAATGCAGGCCACAGACACTGTGCCGGGTCCGAGACTTCAAGACTTCGAGGTCTTTCAGTATGCGGTATGCGGTATGCTGATTAGCCTCCATCCAAGCTCAGCGCTGATGCACTGTTTGTAGTCAAGAGCATGGAAACCTGTGTTGAACTTGGACGTCTGAAACTAATACCCCTAATTGTCCTTAGGTATGTTGTATCCATAGTATTCATTCGATTCTGAGATACTCATTTATAGCAGAGCCTCGTCAATAAATCAGAGTTCACACACAGCAAATGTCTCAGAATCTGTAGCGTGGTGGACAGCTCAACCTATCTGAGATGAGCTTCGCAGCTCTCCTCTATATGCTTCCGTGTGTCTCCAGAAGGTACGAAGGTAATCCAGCAAACATAGCCTTCCGCCCTTCCACAAAGGACGAATGTTAACATTATATAGAACCAACGAACGTTAGAAGGGGATGGGAGGGAGATAAATACGTCCACATCAGAAGCGCATACGGAAATATGTGGATAATAACCAATACCTTCAAGCCCGATGTACGTTTCCCAGCATGTGAAGATCATAAGCGCCGTCTGGAAATAGTTGTCATTACCATTTGGTTGGAGGGGAAATCCGATAGAACTCACTACAATGGCATTGTGACACCAGTCATTCGGTACCTTCGAGATAAAGTGCTTCCAAGGAGCGAGGTAGAATATTTCATCCACAAATATCTTCTCCATGGGCTGCAAATATATTTTCGAAGCTTTGAATATAAAAAGACGACAAAATTGTTACACGAGCTGTTCGCGATGACACTTTAGTCTCGGTATAGACGGGCTCTCCTTTGGTTACGGTAGTCGATGAATCGGTCGCGTGCTATCGTGCACGTTTATTGGCTGCTAAAGGCGATATAGTCTTGCAGCCAGCAAAACGGGCGCGTTTGATACTCGATAAAATAGTAACTCCAGTGATACTTTATCCACTCTGTCTCACTTTAGTTGACCGCCATGAGCCCGAGCCAGAAAAATGGACCCGAATGACTGTATTTTGGGAGGCTGTTCTCTCTTGACCTAGAAGTGTAACAACAGAATGAGATGGTGAGCTAAATTGCGATGTGATTCTGTTCGGATCAGATGCATAAGCCCTTAGTGACGGTTCATCTGCAGACTGTACACGACGACTCATGCGAACTTGAAGGCAGCTGAGTCGTCATAATTGCGGGCCATCCGCTGCTGGTTTCACGACCATAGATTTTCGTAACACTTGTATTGGTTGATAATTTCATACCAAGCGGAACGGCCTCCCAATTGACGGCAGTTGATGCGATAAAAGGCTCAAAACGACCATGGTCGACGCTAGATGCCAATGGTCTTGTACCCAAACGTGTCGAGTTTGGGTACGAGACCATATGCCAAAACCACAAGTGAGCGCTGATGATTCACTCGTGGGCTACTTACGATCCTATTATGCCTCTATGCCGGCTTTTCCTCGCCAAGGCTGATGGGGGACACAGCATCCTAGGAGCTCGTGGGTATTTTCAAGCGGATAGTAGGATGCTGTGCAGAGTATGTCGACATTGGTCAAATAGAAGAGTCGTTGCTGGCATAAAGCGACGGTGAATTCGATTTAGAGACACGCGTATCAGATAGAACATACGAAGATCATGAACACTGCCCACAAAGATAGTTGAGATGAACGTGGTGTAGTTGTATTCAGAATAACTCACCCTGTTCCGAAATACTCACCCCCGTCTCGATCGTATATGAACCTAAGGAAATCCTGTGCTACAATTGTGGCTGGATACCACATCCGAGGCTGTCGTGCACTGATCGGAAAGTGCTATACTCATGGCGGTAACTGCCCCTTTTGCTTAATTTAGACATACGAACATTGATTTGAAAGAGCACACCAAGCGCTCTTAGGCTGTTCCTCGGCGCTGCTATAGGTTAGAAGCCCTAAAGAAGTCGCAAGGCATTTCGAAGACGCGAGTCCACCACAAAGACCACTGCATTCAATAAAAGGTGACTCACCTGATAAGTTTTATCCCAGCCATTGTGTCCGCCTCGTGATGACCTGAGTCCATCGCGGGCCTTCGGACAGCGCTTCACATCGGCTCAGCCGTGGAGTTACCGCCTGCATGCCTGAGACTACCTCTGAGTACTTACCGATTGATCACTACGGGCTTGCAAGGCGATAGTGACTCATCTATTGGCACTTGATATAAGTTTCAGATATTTTCGGACAAAGTCGTCGAGTTGAATGGTTGACCCCATGCAAATTGTCACAAGTGCTCGAGAAATTGAAATAATATATATATATAGATCCTCCGTATTCATCCAAAGCGAGATGGTGCATGTCAACAGAGAGTAACGTGTGAACAGATAATACATGGATAGCAGCAACAGAACACATAAGACTAGTAGTTCTGCATTTCGTGTAGGTCTGGCCCAGCGTTTGAGTGCAAGATTTCTGCAGGGTGACAAACTTGTGACCAGCGAAGTACTTCAGTCAATCGTCTTATTTTTGCATGAACAGGTATCCAGAATGGGCGAATCCACCCGCGCACAGACGTCTCTCCGCCTTCCCAAGCGGTATAGATACACCAGATGATCAAAATACCCACCAAACCCCACGAGATTGCGCTAACATAAATCGAGGGGTCGTCCTTCCGCTGGAAACACTCAAAAGCAAAAGCGACCAGGAAGGTAACCATGCTTTATAACGATGAAATCAGCCGGTGCGCGATAGGAAATGTATGGATAGCTACTCACGCCCACATCAGGAGCGCATATGGAAGACTGTACACAATTGCTAGTGTCTCCAAACCTAGAGTCGGATGCCGCCTACTAGTGAGGAAGTTGAGCTAGAGCTCTTAATTATATATGTAGGCGAAATGTGATATGGATCAACTCACTGCTTCTTCTGCACTGTCCATCGGCCTTAGACGATACTGCCTAACAAGTAGCAGACCTACGACGGTGCTGCCAATACTAGCTATTGTTGAGACAAAGCTTGCGAGCTGTGCTGGTGTTCGCGGCCCAGAGCCCGGATCAACGTCATTTATGGTCATAAATGAGATATTTGCGTTCAGCAAAACGGTCGCCTGCAATGTGACAGGCCACATGAACTCATACGGAAATGAGAATTCGAAAATAGAACGTACAAATAGAACATATTCTTGCCAGTCATCTTGCAATCGAGTCGTAAATTGTGCCCAAGGTACATTTTTGATGATTCCGTCGACCCAAATTTCCTCCAGGGATCGTAAATGTCGTTCAGGGGCATTAAACAAGAGAAGCGATAGTGTCGATATCAGAAGCGTTCTTTGTGGCGATTCACCAGTCACGCTTTGATCTCGGCATAATCGAGCTACCTTCTGGCCATGATAGTTAAGAAACCTGTCGTGAACTGTAACATAGTTGAGCCCATTGTTCATACAAGATGTTGAATATCTAGGTACCTAGAAAACTCATCAAGCGTCCTACCGTACTATGAGCTACTATGCAAAAGCTCTATTTGAACACTCACCTACGACGCAAGCTGTGTACTGATTAGGGCTCAATTCTGTGAATGCAACTCTATGAAGTTCCATAATTTGCATAGAGTACACACGCCAACCTTTTATCATTTTTACGGTCGTGATCATCTTGAGCAACACGTCCTCTCGGAGGGTGATCGTGGATGTTGTCGAGGTGAGTTGATCTGCGTATGGGAGAATGTATCATCTGCTAGGTAGGTGAGCTGGCAGAAAACTACTTGCCTGTGACACCGTGAATAAGCATGCTTAGCAGTTCATGCACTATGTTCTCGGAGGGACCCTGCTTGTGTGGAAAGACATCCCAATGCCTCCTTGGCACGAAATCAACAGTAAACTACGATCTGTGCACACAGATGAGGACCCATGCAAATGAGACAATCGAGAGAAGCAATGAGTACTAACGATGATAAAGAGTAACTACCAGTAGTTTTCTTCTATACCAAACTCTTCAGCCACTGTTAGCGTTATTTCAATACCAAAATCGTGGGCCGGTGACATACTGACATGCGGCGCAGAGTTCAGTCCTTTCAAACTACCGCCTAGCTCTCCCACAATATCATACTCGTGCAGCCAGAAAAGCGTCCGAGACTTGTGGTCTACGAAATAATAGCACCAATGGTGTTTGGTCTCCTTGTTCTCTTTTTTGTTTTCTTCGAGTTCGAGAACAAGTTCAACGTGTTCGGGGAGTGGATTGGGTTGCGCCTGTATCACTTCCTCCACTTGAGCGGCAAAGTCATCGATCTCGAGAAAGATATCAGGGTCGCAGAGGTAAGCCTCCGTAAATATTTTCTGTTTTAAGTTGAAGTTGAAGACACCATAGCACAATTGAAAATGCGAGACTGACCTTCTCGGGATGATAGAAATACAAGGCGCCTTCTGGGTGTACGAGTGCTTCCCATCCAAGAGGTACATTAGAGCTGAATGACCTCGGTAAGAGCCGAGATCCAAGGATGGACCAGATACATACCGAGGGAATGTCGTTTCCAATGGCTTGACAATGAAAACTGATTCCAAATCTTCCCTAAACCCCAAGTGTTATAATGATAGTTTTCCATCAGAGGCAATACGCACAACACTGAGACCTTGTCATATCGGCGTGTCTGCAAAATTGGATACAGCGTCTGTGTCCTTCTTTGTCTCTGAATTCGGAGAGGATCGGGAATATGACCGGAGGGCACTGCCAGATTGATTCGACTATTTGAGGCCGATTTCTCGTGAAACGATACCGACAAGACAGACGTCTGGGGAGATATGTGAGGCGTCGGCACCGGAGAACGTCCTTGGGATCTTGAACGCGATATCGCCCGGCCAGACGTGGGTTTGTAGACCTCCCGGGCAAATCGTCGGTCGCCAGTACGAACAGATGAACGAGATGATGGTCGAGAAGAGGGCGCTCGAAGGTGGTCCTGTCCAGTACCGTCATAAGCACTATTGCGATAAACACGGCCGCCTGGAACAGAAACGCTGAGATTAATGGATGACTGTGAGGCAGTCTGGACGTCGATCGAGTATGGACTATCGGACGACTGTGAGTATGCGACGGAAACCGGACGACTCGGGGTGTTGTTCACCCTCAGCAAGTTTTCGGGAGAGACATGCTCGCTGATACCTAGGTGGGACACCGGCTCTCTGCTTGAGTAGATCACATCGCACTCGCCCTCCTCCTTCCACGCCTTCTCGTCAACCATTCCTTGGGATCCCAGGCCGCCAGGTGTCGTGCCACCTCGTCCATCGCGGTCCTTTGATCGCAGGCGTTGGAAGCGACGCTTGAGAAAGAGCCAGACCAGCTGCAAGTGCTGTTGCGACCACTTGACCGGAACAGATACTAGTAAGCGCAGCAATCCCAAGATCAACGAAAGCGGAGATTTTGGAGGGTGAGGGGTCATCGCACGCCACGGTTGAGGATCACAGAAAGAACACAGACGCCTCAGTTTCTCGAGCAGGTCTACCGAACAGATGCATGTACACGAGCTGGCGACAAACGACGATGTATATCAAGTGCGGGCTTGCGCCGCCTCGCTTGCGTGACCTCCCATGCAAGCCGCGTGCGCAAGAGGTATTCGTTCAGCACGAGTTCGACAGTCCTCATGTGTGATCAGTAGGAGCCAATGGTGGAGTATTCAAGCTGGCGTGCACAACATGCATGTGCTTATGATCGAGCTTAAAATAGACAACCATGAGCCAAATTCAACTTAGTGTGTCGACATTGCGAAGGTCGAGGGTCGTCGGCGACCAGGTGGACAACGCGCATAATATTGAGGAAGCAGCGCCGCATTGTCGCCATACCACGGAAATGTATGGACCGAAGTTTGATACACGCCGGTCAATCGCTGGCAAAAGCACCCCCGCGCTCATGCCTGGTGCGCAAAGTGTGGTCATTTCAATACTCTGATTACGACCCACAACTAACTACCTCTCTGTCTCATACTGGGAGACCAAGATTGTGGCTTGTCTGAGATCTCGATCCACGGTCCACGCTGGTGTTGGACATTTGAAGATTCTGACCGTTCGAGTGTCTTCTGGTGCTTGCTGTTGTCGTTAGGTGCAAGTTCCGAATGGGGCGCCAAAAGGGACACATGTTTGCGCCCATCATCCTGTGTATGGAAACTGGAAGCATCTTGAACATTCCCGCTGGCCGGAGCACCCTGTTGGCTAGAGTCTGCAATCTGCTGCAATGCGCGCTCCTCGCGGTCTCGTGCCTCAATGACAGCGGCATTAAAGAGAACACGCCTTTGTCGCTCTAGGTCAGATTGGAGCTCCTACGACAGAAAAATGGGCTTTTCATGAAAACTTGATTAGGTGTCGGGTTTACCTCAAGCGTTGGTGGGTGCGAGCGGGTATGCGTCAGCCAAGCGGACCACTGGACTGGACCAGACATACAGTGATCGGTTTTAGAGACCGTCAACAAGACTCACCTGGCAGCCTTTTTCCTCCTGAGACATACTGCAGTATATCCTGTCCCCGCGTATACTCCACTACGCGCTTCGTCCGTCTGGGATCTGTACACGATAGATGGTCATCGCTTTGCAAATGTGTGAATTTATGCCAGAATAGAGCGTACCATCAGAGACACTTGGGTATTCGTAGAATTTGTTTCCTAAAAGCAATGACAGGTCGAGAACTATTCCGGAGACATTACAAATGCGCATTACGCACCTTCGATATCCTTCCCCACAAAGTACGACTGCCTGCAACTTAGTTCATCTGTGATCATGTCAAAAAACTGGCTGGGCTTACAGGACGGCGAATACCCTGCCACACTCGACGGAGCCAAGACATGGCGAAATAAGTAGAGGCTCGTCGAGTTGAAACGCTCGATCATATATCCAATCGTGACACCGCTCGCACCAAAAAGGAAATCATGCGACCTAAATTGGCATTTCAGTATGTTGAATCTGGATGTCGTTCAACTCTGGTGAATGGGAGACTTTAGTTCAGTACGTGGCAATTGGGAGTACATGTATTCTCAAAATACGCATGCATGAAGGCGCCACTTTGTAATTAATTGTACTGAATATATGCCCGGAGTGTATACAAACGAGAACGAATCGAGTTCAGATTAATATGCACATGTCAAGTCAAGTCCACAATGAACCTGATGAGCGTCCAGTGTAAATAATTGACAGTGTAATTTATTTTTAGGGTGTAGCAACGAGCAGAAAAAAACGAAACCGAGAGCTATGACAGTTCAACGCCGCGGGCGTTTGACTGCGCCGCCTTCGCCAACCTCTAGGTTGGAGAGGGGATCTCTCTTCTGTCCGCCGGCGTGTGGTGCAAGACCCATGCCTTGTACATGCCTTCGCAAAGGCTGTGCAGATTGTGCGCTGGAGAAAACATTACATCTGAACACCGACAACCAATATAAAATGGGGCTACCCACTGCATTACGTCTGCGCTGCGTTTGAGGCCAATTGTGGGTGCTTGGCCTGTAGAAGCGCGCGGTGGTGGAGGTGGGATAGGTCTCAGACTCTGGGGGTCCTGACCGGATGCTCAGCATTCATGCTATACTAAAATGGAAGACTTACTACGCCAGGAGGAGAATGAAAACCACCGAGAGAACTTGTCGATGAGCGACTCGAATTATCCACAGTTGTTATTGCTGGAACGCACGATACAGAAGAGCCAGCTTGCAGGTTCTTGGATGATGCATTTCGGTCTTGTAAAATAGGGCTCTTCCGCTTGAGCGAGCTTATGACCGACGGATTCTTGCCACGTTCTAGGCAGGAAGGCGGGACATGGTGTTGAGAATTGACAGAAGCCTGCTGTTTCAGCTGAGGAAGCGGAGCATTGCCTCCAGTAGACTGTCGCTGAAGCACATCTTGGCCTTCTAAGTCAACGCAGCTTCCGTTGACTTCTTCGTCTACTTCAAAATCGATTGGACGACCAAGGCCATCCTCCTCAAATTGCAAAGCGGCAAGAAATGCATCATCATCTGAAGGAAAATGGAAGGACTCTTCGCCATCGTCTGTGATGACAGCTTCAGCTAGAGGTTCGGGAGCAGCATAATGTAAGCTTCTGACGCCAGTGCTTGACGATTCCTGGGCAGCGGATGGTACAACAGCAGTTTGAGGTGCAAAACTGACTCTACGTTCTGCGTTGCTTCGGTTTGGATCTTCTTTCGAGACCCGAGATTGTTGCAGTCGCGGCTGAGCTTGATCAGCTCCGATGGTCCGCGAGACTTGCGCATTACCTAGTGTTTGTATAGGTGTGTTCAGCCCGGTTTTTGACTGTCCTGGATATGTCTTCTCTTTGAAGACTGGCGTCGGCACAGTGATCCCTGACCCATTGGACGCAGAAACAGAGCGCATACGTTGAGGCACGGCGGACTCAGCCTTATTTTCAGCAGGGCTGTCGGAACTTGTAGCGCTCAGAATGGCCGCCATTCGTGGTGAAATTTCTGATGTAGGCTCGGATTTGATGCTTGTATGAAGCGCATTGGAGGGTCCATTGGGGGCACTTGCGTTCGCTGCCGGACGAACATCCTCAAATTCTGGTCGACGATGCAATTCATTCTTGTTAAACTTGGGCTGAAAAGGTCATAGATATCATCGAGAATGATAAGATAACAATAAAAGGGAAAATGGCAGATACGTACCGGGGGAACTTTGATCTTTACAACCTCTTGCGTATACGATTTATCATACAAACAATTCCCAAGAAGATTACCAAAATTTCGGAGGGTACGTTTGATCGCATCAGTGACAGCCTCCTTCTTGCACTAAGTGCATGAGAATAGTTAGACGAAGTGTTCGGACCAATACGGAGATATCGAAGATTAACTATCACGACGCTGTTGAAAGTCGATGCAGCTAAAGGTTATCAACGGCTGATGATACATCAATGTATGCCTTTGACTGCAGCGATCTTCATTGCGATCCCAACCCCTTGACAGATGGAGGCCGTGGTGAGAAGATCTGGTCGATACTGACCTTATCAAGAGCAGCGCCCTTGCTCTTGGAGTTTTCGAGCAGGCCATAGCCTACATCCTCATGGAAGACGCCGTCCCGAAGGGTTACTCTTACGATAGCCGTGACGCCTACTGAGAATCGCTTGGAATCTTCGCTAAAATCGATGAAATCCGTTGTCATATTTACTACGCTGGAGCTCCAACCATTGAATCCAAAGCTATAGATGAAATCATCGGCTAACTATAAACTTGATAGCAAGGAACGAGCTTACACTTCATTCGCAAGATTGATTATCTTCCATCCTGAGCATATATGCTGAGTATCTGCGCCAGTGATGAATTTATGAGAATACCTTCAGCATAAGTCAGCTTCTGGCCTCCTCCAGGACCAGGCCTTTGCGAAATATATTCGGGTCCGAGTTTCTTGTTGAGCTTTGCCTGAAGGGTGGCAATTTTCTTTTCCGTTTCTACAGATAGTTCCATAAAAGAGGTGTCCGAAGGACAAGATTGAGAGAAGAAAGAGCCATGCATCTGAGGCGCAAAAGACATTGCTCCATGAATCGCGACAGGTGGCGGGCTGGAAGATGATTGACAAAATGGTCCTCTCGTGTAGTTCTGCGCGGATAAGAAAGAGTCTACAAGATATCCACTGAAAGAGCCAGCCATCCAAGGGTGGCGTTCGAGTGGCTATCAAGATGAGCAAGTACGGCTTCAAGAATCAACTCAAGCGCGGGCACCAAAGCGTGGCGCGACGCGATGCACCACGTGATGTTGCGGAGACATCACGCTGACGGAAGTCCGCGCGTCTGGGACAGTGTCTGGCCGAGGCCAGCTCGCGTCAGTGCGCGTCTAATATTTTGTTGTCTTCAAGTCTCCGTCGACTTATCCCTCCGCCTCTGTGGCCCTCCCTACGCGTTCTCCTTGCATTTTTCCTTCAGCATCCTCACGGTGAGCTATGCGAACTTGGTAAAGATAGTTTTTACTCACTAGAATCCAGCTTCATGATGACCAACGGCACTTCTACCGTCAATCCTTCTGAGGTCGGCTGGCAATTCGTCCCTCAATACTATACTTTTGTCAACAAACAGCCCAATCGTTTGCACTGTTTTTACACTAAATCTTCTACTTTCATTCATGGCACCGAGGGTGAGGATGGCAAACCTTGCTTTGGCCAGCAGGTGTGTTCTCCTTTTCCAATATCGACGTTCATCCTTGTGGCGGAGGCAGTTTTGTCGTACGCAGCGTGGGAGGCTGCTCATATGTCGCAATGGAATATGCCCGAGGCCCTATCTCGAACTCCTTGCCTGCAGCACATTAACTGCGTGGTGCAAGCGATGCCTTTTGCCGTCGCTAACCCCATGTGGCTTCAAAAACAAGGCTGCATGCAAATTACGAGATGGCGATCAGATGTCTAGCAGTCGGTGGTCCGCTTCGCGATGAATGGTATTGCGGATTTGGATCAATTCTCTTTGTTATATTTGGTCGCACTTTGCTTGCCATATGTCTCCATGTTTCTTCGTCGCTCTGTTTATTATGGCCACTTCAATAAGTCGGCCCTGAAGCATTGCGGACAGGAGCAATTCTCTGCTTTGGGTGCCGGTTGAGAGTTGCATAGCATACTAAAAGTATGCTTATGTGCGTGGCTTTGATTTCCCCTGTTGTCCGTTATTCGTTGGAATGTTGGACTCAGATTGATTGTGTTCAATATTATTAGGAAATTCACAACAAGATCACATCGATTGGATTTCAGGACTGCAAAGTTTTCATCCATTCAGTGGATGCCCAGTCGTCTGCAAATGGCGGAATCATTATCCAAGTGATTGGTGAGATGTCTAACCATGGGGAGCCGTGGCGCAAGTTTGTGCAGACGTTCTTCCTTGCTGAGCAGCCAAACGGATATTTCGTTCTGAACGATATTTTCCGTTTCCTCAAAGAGGAGGCCGTGGAGAGCGATGATCAGGCAAGCGACGTCGAGGGCGCTGCTCCGGCTCAGAGACCCATTCCTCCCGTCTCGGAGAACGCTCCTACACCTGCCCCACCCGTTCATGCTCCGCCCACTCCTGCACCTCCTACAGAGCCTGAACCTGAGCCTGCGATGACGCCGACACCTCCGTCTGCGCCTGTGAAGCTGACGGATGAATTGTCTGTTCCTGCTACGTCCTCTCCCGCACCGGAGCTCCAACAACAGCCTAATGGCGTCCACTCTCCTGAACCGAGATCAGAGCCAACTCCTGAGCCGGAGTCAGTTGAGAGATTGCCATCGCCCGCTCCAGAACCTCCCGCGACGGCTTCTCCACCACCTGTCTCGCCCCCTGCTTCTCAGAACCAGCCACTGCCAGCTCCCCCCGCACCGCCTGCACTTTCGCAGCCCCCGGCTCTCGCTCCCGTTGCACCGCAGCCAACACAACCACCGCAGCGGAAAACTTGGGCGAATTTGGCCGCGAAGGATTCCAATAAATGGGGCGCTGCCGTTGCTAACGAAGTACGTGGCGTGAGCGAAGCGCCTGCTACCACTGGGTCGCCTGTACCGCTTAGTGGACCTCAATCACCCGCTCCGCACGCTACTTCACGACCTACCGCCCCCAGGGAGCAACATCCTGCATATGTGGCAGCGCAGTCGGTGCAAACAGCGCAGTGCTTTGTCAAAGTATGGAATATCAAATTTGTAGTCATATCAGTGCTCATCTACCCACGTCACAGAGCGTAACCGAAAATATTCCCGATGCTGCTCTGAAAAACTCACTTGTCCAGCGGTTCGGGCCTGTCAAGGAGTTGGAGATTCTCCGGCCGAAAGCGTGTGCGTTCCTTGAGTTTACGCAACTCGAGGCCGCCCGGCGTGCCATTGCCGCTTCCCTACCAATCTCACAGGGCGGTGAGGGTGGTGTTCGGATCGAGCTGGAAGGTGGTGCCACGGCACGTATCCTTGTTGAGACGCGGAAGGAGCGCGGTGAGCGTCCCCCACCTCGCGGACCACCTGTGAGTGGTGGGGACAGGAGAGGCAACTTCCGTGGTCGTGGTGGTCCAGGTGGCGGACGTGGACGAGGTGGACCTATTCCGCCGAAGTAGAAGTGCTCTTACTGCGCGCGGTATCGGTGGGAGAGAAGCAGCTGTGCGATATAGGTGAGCCGGGTGGGCGTAGCGAGTCGGCCTGAGGTGGTTGCACTCTAGCCCTGTGGAGTGTGAGATCTCTAGTGGGCATGCTGCGTTGGGCGGTGAAAAGTATAAAAGACTATTCCCTGTTTTTTTATGATTTTGATGTTGGTCTGCACTTGTGTTCGTCGCTTTTTGTTGTGTGCAACATTTTGGTAGCATTTGCTTTTACGTATCGCTCTCAATACATAATGTGTAGAGTGTGAACAGCAACAATTAATGTGAAGTGGGTGTTGGTTGGGATTCGGGTGCATCAGGACGACAATAAACATTTACAGGAATTGCGTTGCAGGGAACATTGAATCTGGTGTGTTCAACTCATCATGACCAATACAATGAAGAGCAGGATAATGTTTCATTCTACGGATGTAGAAGTACCGTCCTAAGCGGGAACGTCAAGCGCGCGGAAGTCTTAGGTCAACAAAGACGAGTGTGCCGGCTATGCAGTTAATGATTACAGTTTCCTTTGGGACGCGAAGCACTGAAAAAACCGAATCAACTCAAAAGCAGATTCATAGGCTAGGTCAATCGCAATGTTAGCACTTCACTTCGCTTTTGCATTGAGATGATGTGACGTACGTATACATTTGAGATATAACAGCAAAATTGATGACACGTTAGCACAAGTGAGGGGGTAAGTGTGATTACTATGCCATGGGAGGAGGGCGGAATGACATGATTTCTTCATACAGTAGCTCCTTCAATTGTTCTCGGCTGATGTCGTCCTTATGCACTAGACGGTATGTTAGCTTCCGCTGCTTACATAGTGTGGATATCACACAAGGTTCGAGACTCACGATCAAACTCAAAGAACTCGGGATCCAGTGGAGGAGCAACGGGCTCATCTTCAGGGTCGTGCTGATGATACGAATGCAGATAAACAAGAGAGAACTATTTAGCTATGGTATGAACACATACGTATGCCTCGAGATAGGGATGTGCGAGCGCCTCCTCCACGGTGATGCGCTTCTTAGGGTCGAATGTCTGCCACAAGGCAGTCTTCAGTGTCATACGGAGTGGGAATCACTGGCGCCACCTACCAAACTTCGCGTCAGGAAATCCACGGCAAGAGCACTCGCATTGGGAAAGAGCTGGGTAAACGGCTTGCGCTTGCGGAACGGCAGTGCACGGATGTAGTCGCGCGAGCGCCGTGTCGTGATGGCGTAGAATTCATCTAGTGTCGGCGTGCCGAGGACGTCGAGAATGAGCGTCAGCTGGTGGTGATAATCCCGGCCGGGGAAAAGAGGCTTTCCGGACAGCATCTCTGCCAAGATACAGCCCACAGACCAAACATCAATCGCCTGGAACGGGAGCGGGTCGATGAATGATGCGCCAAACAGCCTAGTACTGCCAGACTCACCTTGGTGTATTGTTTGAAGGTCAGCATGATCTCCGGCGCACGATACCATCTTGTCGCTACGTATTCCGTCATGAAGCCCGTTTCCGTGCCCGATGGTTCGGCGGTCTTCACAGACCGCGCGAGACCGAAATCACACACTTTAAGATCGCAGTTGGCGTTGAGTAGGAGATTGGATGGCTTGAGATCACGGTGGATGACATCAGCTGAATGCAGCGCCTTGAGAGCACGCAATGTTTGGTAGATGAAGTACTGAGCGTGGTCGTCTGAGAGGTCTTGCGTTCGGATGACGCGGTGCATATCGGTTTCCATGAGTTCTTGGATCACTAAAGAAAGCGATTTTAAACTGAATATGATACGATATGACTTTCAACCTCAACGTACAATAAACTTCCTTGAATTGTTCTATAGATGGTGGTTTGATTATATCCAGGATCGAGATGATCTGAGAGACCTGGTCAGACATCGTGGAGTACTGAGGGTAACCGGCTCACGTTTTCGCTGACACCAGCCTCACTCAAAAACTTCAGCAGTTTCAGCTCTCTCAGCGTGCGCAAGCAGAACATAGAGTGGTCGAAAGGAGCGATTTTCTTGATGGCAACTTTGCGTCCGCTGGGTCTATGCACCGCAGAGCACACAATGCCATAAGCACCCTCGCCAACGACGTCGAGCACTTGGTATTGCGATCCTGGTGATGGAATAGGTTCAATGCGTGTCACAGAGTGAGGTGAAAGTAATAAATTGACTCACCGACGTTGAAACGGACCTTGCGGGGAGCGGGCTGCGCCTGTGAAGCAGCATGGCTGTGCTTGGATTTGGCCGCGGCTGCTGGTTGGGCCTGTTCAGGCATTGTGAAGATGAGGGAGTAGAGGGATGGGGAGAGAGACGAGACAAAGACAGAGACAAGGAGGACTGTGGCTAAATAGAGTCTGTTGTCTAGATACGGATCCGGAATTCGAGCGGGTGCATGCTATTGTAACCCAGCCAACAGCATCGCCGGCCTTGTTACCGCCCACACAGCGCTTACTAGCGCTTACTACTTGCTCTCAGCTAGTCCCACCGCCACACATATGATCTGCATATAGTGTTCCGGTTACATCCAACATGCCCTGTTGAAACAAGCCTTGTCTGCAATCCTTTATTTCGCGGATTGCATCGGTTTCGCCCCTTCCCGTACGCTGCGGCCGGGTTTCGGGACAACGATATCCTTGCAGCTGGTCATCTCTCCGTGAGTATCGTATAACTGTAGCCTGCTATGGCAGAATGGCAGTGGCCAGAGTAGATTCGTTGGTACAAAACATATAGGATCACGATGTCTTTGCCCATGTCTTATCGTCTCTCCGGCAGTAATGACAAGCAATCACAGAATAGTCGCACGGCCTACACTGTCCATCACAATATGGCATTCGCTCTACAGGTAGCAGCGGCGTACATATTACATACGGTCAGTGTATCTGCGTCTCCATGATATCTGACACATGGTGTGACACTGGCTATAGTCATGTCTGTTGTGAACTTGTGCTAGTCTGATTAATCTATCTCACGCCTATTCCATCCCGAGCTCGAACCCATGGTTGCTCAAAGTTAGTAGTAACCTGAACACTCGCTTGAGGTATTACTTTTCCATTGACATATGCGAACAGGACCTGCTGTGGTGACCTATTAGTATAGGGATCAGGGCGATGCTCGATAGAATCGAGTGTGCCCTTGGTGATTTGCTGAGAGAATTGTGATGAATGTTTCGCATCAGCATATCAGTCGGAAGCATGCGTCTGTACGCCAATCGCTCCGTTGCTGGAGACACGCATTTGTCCATACAGGATTCCGTGAGGTTCAGAGGCTCACAATGCGTGAATACCATCAAATTCTCTTGATCGCTTCCACGTCGGCGGACGATCATGCCAGTGCAGGAATGATGTTTTCGTTGCATTTGCATTCCTTGAGCCTGAGCATCTGCCTTCACCCTTTCAACAGGTGACAACCGCGGGGGTATCACGTAGCGCTTTCCATCCGTATTGATTTACACCCGTGAGTCTGCGATAAAGCAACGTCTGCGGTTGGGTTTGGTTACGTCCGGCTGTGACATTCCTTGCATGCTGTGCGCCAGATATATACATAGCACCACAATGAGCTGTCGACTCGATTGGTGCCACGCCATCTCCGCTAGCATCAAGTTCGAATTTGCCTTTCCTGGGGCCAGTGGCAAGTTTTTTTTTGAGAGCCCTGATGCTCAGACTTGAGCAAACTAGCTGTGCTTGGTAGTCCCGGTAAGGCCATTAACCACTTGCTATGAGACAGGCAGGATTTTCATTTCGATGCCTCCGCTATGCCTTGGACTCTAATAACTTACACGTACACATCAGGAAATCTCTACATGCATCATGGGGAGCTTGACCAAGCCCTCACGAGCAACGGAAGAAGTAAAAGGAGCAGAACAAAAACATCCTCGTTATGCAAAGTAGCTTACCCTTATCATACAGGTCACCTACCATCAATGCATCTGAATCCAACTGTCCGGCTCGTTATATGAAACATGGCCCACGCTGAAAGGACAATAACTTCCCTAACACCTCTTCATATCGCACCTAAGGCTATCCGATCTAGAATCTTTAGGGCATCTTCTCGCGGTAGCGCGCGCAATGCCATGGCCGCGTCCGCACAGACAGGTACAACTGCCTCTACCGCTTTATTCTCTAACGTTGCGTGGACGACTAACCGTGCGATGACTTCTCCCTGTCCGTGCGAAATATGCAAGTAAGCAAAGGCGCAGCCCGTCAGAGGCGACACTCGTACAATTTCGACAACGCATGCCACAACGATGAGCCTACAGAACTGTTTATTTTGGAATGGATGCTCCAACAAATATATTCGTACCAGATTATGATCCACGTAATGCGTTCCATCGCATTGTTATTGAGGTGGTCGTGGATCGCACCGAGCTGTGGTATTTCCAAAAGGATTCTAGGATACTTTCGTACACGAGGGACAGCAGACTCACCAGATCCTCTGCGACCGCCAGCTTCTCGTTCAGCACCTGCACCCTGGGCCCGATCTCCATATACTCTCGCACCGCGTCATACAGCGCCTTCAGGCTTGCTTCGCTCCAGAACAGCTCCGGTACGTCCAGGACGTTACTCACCAAGTTCACGTCGCGGCGGAGTGTGAACAGGCGTCCCGTGAGCCGCAACGCCTCCTTGCGCGAGAGCGCGAGCGCGCCGGTGGACGCGAGCTGTTGTGGGATGGACATCGTATCCTTGGAGGAGATAATTTGGCTCGCGTGTGTCTCGTAGTGTGCGAGTAGAGTGGACTGGGCGAGTGCGTGTGCCACGGAAAGTTTGAGGAGGTGGGAGTGGACCTTGAACGCTGTATGACCAGAGTCTGTATTAGGAAAGGTCGGAATCTGGGATTACGCACTGAAGAAATCGTTGTAGATGCGTGGATATGCGATGGCGGGATCATGCTACAGCAAACAGTCGCTGTAATCACTGACTGAAAAACGACATGTGAGACATACAGCATAGTGACATTCCTCAATCTCCCAGTCATCTTGAACGAATTTACGACGGAGTACACCCGCGCCGTCGATATCTTCTAGGATGCCCCGCTCCTGCTCCTCAGTGAGGCCACAGAATACGACGACACCATATGCGAAGAAAATGACTTCCGCAAAGTCGTTCAAGTTCAGGGTGCTCTGCGCTCTGTCACCCGTATTCTTTGTCTTTCTTCTGCGCTTTAATCCCTGTGGTTTTGACGGCGCCAGCAATGTTGACTCCGAAGCCTCATACATTGGCGAGCTTGTAAGCATGCCCGCAGCGCCGGGGGATGACGACAAGATATAGGCATCGGCGGGCTGCACAGGGCCATGATCTGACGTAGCAGAGTCGAAGTATGTACCTTGATAACCGTCCTCCTCTGCTTCTGAGAGTCCATACGATGGGTCTTCGGTCTCTGATGACGAGGGGGGAACAGACGAGCGGATGTTTGAGTGAGGGCCGTATCCGGGCAACAGCGGGAGATGATAGACCTGGAGGCATACATAGGCAACGCAATGCAACGACAGTAATGAGAAACGCACCACATACATTGCCTCGTCAAAGACACGCGGCTGAACGTTGTGTTCGCGCTTGAGAAAGCTGGCAAGGAGCTTCATCTTGAGGCCATCGGCGACGCAGTATGCACTGATGCGCTTGAAGCCGGCCTTCTCGCGCTGCTCCTTGCTCATGCGCTCACCGACACTCTTCTGCTCGCGCACGCCGCGGTCGGTCTCGTAGCCGTGGAGTGCTTCCTCATCCTCGTCCTGCGGGGGAAGCGGCCTTGTTTGCGGGGCGGTGGGGAGGAGAACGAGCTTCTGAGTGGTCTTAGAGGAGCGTTGCGCCTTGGGTGCGCCAGAGACGGGGTTGATCGTGCCCGTGAGCGTCAGGCCCGACACAGAAGGGCGACGGGCAGGTATGCGAGGAGCAGACCCTGAGATGGAACGCGTCGGGCGGGTGCGGCGACTGGCAACGGGTGGCGGATGGGAGTTCACTGGCCGCGACATCACTGCGGACGGTGCTCAGGCGTCGGGCGTAGGTCGAGGCGCGCTGGCCAAGCGCGGACCCCGAGAATTGCTACAGCCTATGACATCACATACCAAGTGTCAGCCACTTTATAACTGGTCGTCATTTTGAAAGGCTTTTATTGTTAGGCATCCTCACCCAAAAAAATCCAAGTTTTGAATATGCAGATCGTTTAGAATATCATCTGACGTGCGTCAGTGATTTGTTTGGACTTTTCGTTCGAGTCACTCCAATGAAGCCTACTAAAACAATATAAACTGGCTAAAACTGGTAGTATCCGATATCCGATGCTTATGCTAACTTGGCGGCGGCGACTCCAATACTTATACGCGTTTCGGACAGCCTACGCACCGTACGTCCCTCAATGGCCTCCCATCCCCATCTCTTGCTCATTTTCCTCTTTCTGCTCATTTTCTGTCTCTCAGGCAGCGGTGTCCATGCGTTCGGCGCAGGAAACATCCCAAGGTAGACACGGCGATAGATCAAGTTATACTTGCACTGAAATCTATTCAGCTTCGCATATTTAGAAGGAAAGGCGTTTCGTCATGGCGACATTGTGAGCCCAAGAACAAACGCGCCTTATCTTCCAATTAATGGTATTTCAGGAGGATACGTTGAATGAGATTGCAAAGCGCGCCGGAGGGTTCACACTCGGTGTACTTGTAGGCAGGGGCGGATCCAAGTTCGGAGGATTAGACGTGAAGCGTGTCTACTTTGGGTATCTTCAGCCCCGATCTCTTTCTCAGTGACTGCTGATCGCATATTCGTAGCAATTGGCTCCGCGACTACAGCCAGGTGTGTATGCATTAGTTCACACGATCTTTTCCTCTGCTAATAAACATGAAGGCAGTCGATGTAGCCAGTCTACAAAAGCTACAGATACAGGTTTGTCAGTATTCTTCCTCAAGTTGCGAGATGCTTATTCCGGAAACCAGACTATCCTAAATTTATGCATGGTCTTAGGCTTCCTGGTATGCAGTGTTCATCATACCTATCTTTTCATTGGGCATTCATACCTAATGCCTAGGCACATGGCTATGCCACAGAAGAGTTCGAGGTTACACCAGAGCGGCTCGGGGTCTATCTTCCGGCAAGTTCTTGCAGTATTTAGGACACATATATATCTAACCCATGCAATCGCCCGCGATATTAGATAGAACATATTGACAACCCAAAAGGGTACCCGAACAATGCCAGAGACTACCATCCGAAGTTGCGTGGTCCTGTTGATGTGGGTTTATCATCTTTGCTTTTACAATTCGACGTATGAACACGACGTGTAGCCCAGAGAACTGGATATCGACAAACACACTGGAATGAAGAACTACATCGCAAATGGTAAGTTTCATCATCGGTTGTATGCCGTCTCCCCCAATATGTATCTTGGCCATTTAGAGCATGGATCTTGGGATACGTCCAAGGCACTTGTCCGCAGAACGCTGTATCAATGCATTCAGGTGGGTCGGCGGCACCGCGCAAATGGTCGGAAAGAAGACGAGTACGAAGCATATCGGCTGCTTGGTCAGGCTGTACGCACACTTGTCTAAAGTCTGATTTTGTCGCTGGCTGATTTCTTTCGCTGCCACAGATGCACACATTAGAAGATTTTCCCGCTCATTCAAATTTCTGTGAGCTCGCGCTGGTGTCTCTTGGCTATAGGGATGTCTTTGTACATGTCGGGGATCAGGTACGTATCCAGACGCCGGGCGGGCATTGGGTTGCTCCACTTGTGACTGGTTTGTATGATACATTACTACTTCCTGCGCAGTTACTAAGATGCATGCTTGAATTAAGGGACGTTTGGATCAAGCGATTTCATCCACAGTCTATTAGGAGGTGAGGATTGTCATTAGGGGTCCGATTCATGCGATTGCTTACATTTCTGATTGCAGAGGCAACGGATCATATTGTAGGTGTTATATCCTCACCATTGTTTGCCGTCAACGCATTAACACCGATGGAATTATTCAGAGCCAGGTATGTTTTGCTCCCAAGAGAATGGGAGTCTGAGATGAACCCGTTACCAAGGCCTCTGTTGTCGACCTTAATGCGGAAATTGATAAAGCAAAAGCCAAGTCCGGCCCTTCATCCAGCTCGTCGTCTTTCAACATTCTCCGCGACCTTTTCGTCAAGCTACCTGGCGGTAGTGGGAACGAGATGGAGAGGGAGATGGAGGGTGTCGAGCGTATCACAGCGCAGGAGAGACGACCTGGCGCAAAGAAGGCAGAAGACATGAACCCACAGGAATTACACGCAATACTGTGGCAGGTATTAGCATTCAGGGATTCGGGTGCGTTCACTTATGATTGAGCTGGAGTCTGATGCTGAGGACATGTTGTTATGAAGTAATGAAGAAGATATCGATTACCATTGGTCAGTGGCTATGTAGTCAACCGTCAATACCAATGTTGATACAGATGTCTGATTATTCAGAGAAGATACCGGGGTTGCGACCATTGATCGATAAAATTACCGACTCCATAACCGGTTGGTTCCCTAGTTTCATTGAAGGCACTCCCTGACATACTTGTTTCCAGTGTTCGTGTTCACTACTCTCGAGGTGTGTAGGCAAAATGCTTTCTGCGCCGACGTCTCACTGTGTAACCTATCTTGATCAGCCTTTCCTGAAACCGATCATGAGGCAAGCTTCATCTGGTCTCATGGCCGCCTCCGGTGAGGTAATTGACAAAGCTGACCAATATGAGGTTAGTCGTATTCTCTCCGATTACAGTTGGTCAATTTGCCAGTTCTAATGGCATGACTAGGTCTTTAACGACCCTCGGGCTGTAAGTAAGCGAGGCGCTTACGATGGCACCTAGACTCATTTGAATCACAGTCAGACCCCACACATTCATTCTTGAGCAAGGATCACTTTGTGAGTCTTTCGAGGCGCACATAATGAAAGCGACACGATGATATCACACGCAGAACCTCATCTTAAACGAACCAGCAGGACATTTGGGGAAAATCATACTGGTAAGCTTTATCGTAGTCAGAGTGGACCGAAGCCAATCCTGTCGTACAGGTATACACGGCGACTCGTGTTGTCAAGGCATGGGATGATCCGTCAATCAACATTCATCACCTTACCGACGATGTTCTATCCTGCTTGTGAATATAAGATCATCTCTTAGTGCAGCCCTTATCCGCTCACATACGCTACAGGTTCCATCCTGACTTCCATGACCGAAATTCTCCCATTCAGCGTGAGATGATGCAGTATATGAGCTCTTGGATACAGGGGCTCGGACATCTGCAATCCGAAGTTCTACGGCGATTAACAAGGGAGTCGGTGCGGAACCACCAGAACATCCGACCGGGTGGGCAAGGCGCAGCATCTGCTGCGCAGGGCTCCATTGCGCAGAGTACTGGCATGAAGATGCAGCAAGACTTACTAACGAGCGTCCCTGGCTTGTCGCAGGCGCAGTCTTTGCTGGGCAAATTTGGCACTGACAAGACAATCCCGCGTCCGCCGTCGACAGGCTTGGCTAGCCATACGCAGGCTCTGCCCGCGATGATGGCAGCTGGGCTGGCGGGATCGCCCCGAGTAGCAAACCACACGCAGACTGTGCCCAATATGCCGCCCCCTATTGAGAGCCAGTGGCATCACGACAGGCACCACGGGCAGCATGGCCGTGATGGACACGGTCATCGGCACGAAGCAGCCCAAGAAACTTCGTACTCTTCGTACTACACGGAGTCGCATGAAATGCGTATGCCGTCAGAGATACCTGTGTACGGGCAGAATGCAGGATACCCGGGTGCCTACACGCCGTTGCATTCAGCGCATCATCACGCGCCCCCACCAGGGCCGCCGCCTCCGTCATTCTCTTCAGGAC